TCACTTTGCACTTTCTTATACTCCTCCTTCATCATCATTATCACCAGAATCCTTTCTTTTCTTCTTGCACATCTTCTACCAAATCGCCTTTATCATCTTAGTCATCATCATCATCTCCTATTTTTATTTTCTTAATTTTTCGTAATTCTTCTCTTTCATCAACATGATCATCATCATCTTCTTCGAAATTTTCTTATTCTTCTTGCACTTCTTTTTTCTACTTCTCTATTTCACCATGATGATCATCGCCTTTTTTCTTTTGTTTTCTTGTAACTTTGCTTCTGCTTATTCTTTTATGCCTCCCTCTTCCTTTATGTCTTCTTCCTCTCGACCAAATGTCAACAAATGCATCCCAACATGTCTCATTTCACTCCATTATTACTTTCTCTGACTTATTCTTTCGTCAACATAACTTATGCCCTGAGAAACATAAAGAGTTGGTATCTATGAACTATAGTAAAGAAAACATTATACTAGGAAAAATTGGACCAATTATAACAGAAAGGTTAGGTATCAGCTAGTCAGCACGCAAAATAGGTTGTTGTGCATATGGTGAATAATCTTTAATTTGCAACAGATATTTTTCTATGAAAATGTGCATTTTATCATCCGCTAAGTACAAAAAATCATTTTGCATAAATTTTCTATTTTCGATGATAATTTTCAATCAATGTCTTAATTTTTGAAACGCATAAATCAAATTCCCTGACAAGTTTGTGTAAAGAAAGGCATCCTCATTTGTACAAAAGTGAGCTGTGATGACTTAAAACTGGACTGTCCTTTTGTTGAAAGTTTTGAATAGAATTCATTTCCTCTTTGTCTACTCTATCGTCCTTATCGACCCTTTCCGACTAACCTGAACTTTTGCTAACAATCCATGAAAAAATGCTGGTTAGGCCAGTTAAGCACACTTAAGCAAAGCAAATAACAAACAGCTAGTCAAATTATTTTAAATATGCATGAGTTTACTTGTATTAGATTTTCTGTTCGATACTGATGCCCAGAGGCATTGCTGTACACTCACAGAAGAAATTAGTTAAACTGCTGGATGGTCGCATGAAGTGTGATGCTAAGAAATGCAACATATAACCGTCCTGTTCTTTACATCAAAGTATGCAAAGGATCTATAATTCCAAATTTTTTATTATCACGTTAAATGAGACGTTTTCTTACAAATGGAGTTACAGTAAATCACATAAACTGTTAGTGTTTTGAATTCCACTTTGTTTGTGAATACATTACATACATTAAGTACAGTAACTTATTCTTTGTGTTTTTGTTTTCTAAGGTTGCACGACAATCTACATTCCTGGACACCCGCCGCTTAGATTCTGTTGTTGTTAAATTGATATCTCTGCTATTAAAATTATACTGTTAAATTTTGCAGTAACATTATATTTGTCGCTGTGCTAACCTCTCTTGTTTGCTAATTAAATTCAGTCAGTTCGTAGAATCAGTGCTAGTTGCAAGCTACTTATGCCCTTCCCTTCGTTTACACGACGACTCGATGTAATAGATAGAATTTTGACTGGTGGACTTTACAATTTGATTCCAAAGTTGGCAGCCGCTATTGCGCAGATTGCGACTTTAAAAAGGAATGTTGGGAAAGACATGCTTTCCATGGCGCGGCTACGAGTTCAGATAAATGCCCTTTTACATTTTGTAAGACAAAATTAATAAATTTTGATGTAATTTTATATTTTCATTATTGCAGATTGTGGCTTTTTGGCTCATTTTGCGTGCTTTGCGGCTTTAGACCTTCTAATATGGCTCCTTGATCTTTTCTACTCGTGTTCTTGTTAATTACAGCTTAAATTACATTATTGCTATAGACTTAAGCTTATAATCGCTAAGAAAGTCCTTGTTTTATCATAAACATAGCATAGACTTTGACGTTTTGTAAAGTTTTTAACCTAAAAGTATACTTAATATTACACAACTAGCCAGTGCGTTAATCGTGCGCTTTCATCAAACTTTTAGTGATTTTGTGAATCTATTGCTTTTATGAAACGTTCGTATTGTACTTTTTGAGAAAAATGAAAATTCAGAAAATAAAGGTACTCTTTGGGCTAATCACCAAGGCATTGAGCCCTTCTATTACAAACTTTCAGCCACTTGGAAATGTCGTACGTTTTGCGATAAATGGTCGAGCTCGTATGAAAGACATTTCAAATTCAGATGGGTTAGGGTTAGGGTTAGGGTTAGGTATTTTTGGAAAGCGCGTTTATAGGAGGGGGTTCATTTCATTGTCCGAAACATATTCAGAAAAGCAGGTTTTACAAAACTCGTGTGAACAGAATAAATCTCAAAGCAAAATAACATGATATATAACATTAATAGTTAAATCTATTACATTTCGTCCTTTTTCCACGTCTTTGTGTTCATACTCATCCAAATCATTGTCAATTACATGATCCTGATTATTTCAGCATCGAATTATTCTATCTGTATAATGGCTCACCATTTCCTTGTCTCTGCTTCTATTGCCTTTCAGTCAATTCTGGACTAAGCAGAACAACCACTTTCAGAGCATTATAAAGGGGATTCTTGATTCAAACTTGGCAAAAATAGGTTGGACGCTAATTGGAGGGGCCACTTTAAAGAGAATGAGTGCTTATTGACCTATATATGGTAGACATTTTTGGGAAGCCTTATGCAATAACGTTTAATCACTCCAAGAAAATATCGTGCACTTTTTGTGAGAATCCTATTGTTTTATCTTAAAATCCCTGGAAATCCTTTTATTTTAGGGAAAATCTCGTACGCTATTTGCAAGAGTGAATTGCCCCTCGTTTCTAGCTTTTCTGAAAATGAACACCTGATATGTTTTGTTTGCTTAGCTGTGCAAATTCTAATGTCTTCATTTTAGCACAATTTGTCTCCATCTGCAGAACGTAAACAAAGCCTATATTTAAAACATACGAACTCTACGTATGTAAGAGAACACTGTGTAACATTTCAGCCTCTGTGTAAAGTCTACTATTAATTATCAAAGCATTGTGTTGTGAGGACATGGAAGATCATTAAGATATTTTTCAGATGGAAAAAATTGCTTGAATTAGATTGATGGTTGAGGAGTCAAAATATGTTTTTTACTCATTGAAATAGACATGAAGCTAAAAAACGTAGTGAAAACACAAAAAATTGTATATGAATCCAAATCACAGGATATTTTATTACGTCTAGGCTATACTAAGGGATGATTCGAAACACATTAGAACTAGGCACCCTGTAAACCCCCTTCAGTTTAACCTCTCAAACGGCCATTGTCTTTTCATTTCTCAGCTTCAGTTTAGAACACACAAACCAGAGGTCAGCAGTTGTCGATGATGGTCAAGCAATCTGGTTTTGTGGAAAACAAATCTTGAATTAACGTTGCAAAATATTCCCTTTAAATTGGTTTTAAGAAGACTGTATGTCAAAGGACAAATAATTAAACTGCCTCTTTGAACCTAATAACATTAGATTCCACTTCATATAATTATAGAAATATGCTATGTATGGATTTTCTCCTCGTGAAGAAACCAATAGTTTATGGAGAAGGGCAATCGTAACCATATGATCCAGGGGGTAGCAAAACATGAGTTCATCATAAAAGGAGCTCATCCTGCAAAATCAGTTTGCTTCGCTCCCTAGACTAACGCAATCTTCAGAGTGATACACTAAGATCTACCGTAAATCTATGACTTTGTCGTTTGAAGGTCTATTGATTTAAAATTTTTTGATGGAGCTGATTCAAGAGGAGCTTAAACAAGGAGGTAAATTTTTCTGAAAATTGCCATGCAAGCATATCTTTTTCGAACCTTTTCTAATGCAATGTCAAGAAATTTTAAGCAAAAAATGTCCTTACAACTGACACATGTAGTGAATAAGATTCTATTCAAGGCTTCAAAAAATTTGATGACACACGACAAGACGCTCTGGAGTATCGATCCTATAATCTCGTACTGTTGATTGCATGGCAACCATAAAAATACATTTCTTCTAATTTGTAACAATTTGATGACCAATTTTATTGACAGAATTCATGTTTTTATATACCATATATTTATATATAGTAATAATGTCTAGCTATGCACTGTCTTTTCAAATCTTATTAACACTTGGCTGCAGGTTGCCACAATGTAATGACCCTATATTAATTGTATTTTTTCCTTTGTGTCATTGTATTTACATTATTCTATATGTTAGGAGAAAACCAGGGTTGCCAGATTGGTCTATTTCAGGCCAAAGTTTCCAATTTTAGCCTCTTTCGAGACAACATTGCCTGGAAAATTTGTCTTTTGCCTTTTAATTATTTTTGGCCTTGTAGGCCTTTTCAGTTGAGATTTTGCGGATATTTCTTTGGTTGGTATAAACTTAGCAAAAGTACACAGTGAAGAATTATATAGCAAGAGATATAGCAAGTAATGTCGATTTTAATAAAATAAAAGTTAGTTGAATGTAATGTATTTTATCCCTATTGATAAATAATAGATGATATGATAATTTATATTCAAATTTAAGTTTTACGTTAAGAAATAAAAAAACTTTGCCATCGCAAATTTTTTGAAGAAGAAAGTTGATGAGGCTCGATTTGAGTATGGAAAATAATTTGAGAGACGCATGCTTGGAAATATTTACTATTCTGGGCGAGATACTTGGCTTGGCTAGTTTCGTCAATTAATTTTTTTTACAATCAAATTGCATTGATTTTGTTGTCAAGCAAGAAATTTGTAGGTTTTCAGAATAAGGGCCCCTGTATTAGTATTTGTTTCGAGAAATGCTCTAGGGCTTTTTATTTTTGCCACATCGCTCCTGAAACTCCCGGCGTGTATTTATGGAAAATATTTTGATTTTGCCTTTTTATGCGAATTTTAGCCTGAGTTTGTCATCTGTCTGGTCTTTGTCTGGAACCCCGGAGAAACATGTCATGAATAATTTGTCTAGATTCTAAAAAAAATTAGGGATTGCAAATGTTTTCAATTGTTGATGATTTTCTTGAAGCTGTTAATAAGATATTTAAAACTTGAAAAAGCAATTTTTAGAGCCAAGTTTAGCAGTAAACAAATGAGCATGACTGGATCATTGCCTAATGACCCCTTTATTACTTACGTCATCAAATTCTTCCACTGTCCGTGTCATTTTCACGTCATCGTGCTTATCGTTGTTTACCCCCCCCCCCCTCTATCATTCCTCGACGACGTCTTTGTCATCATCGATGTCATGCCAATGTGTTTTTTGTTCCTTTGTCAATACTTTTAAGTATCCACTTTCAAATATTTGTCAAAATTATATTCTAAGCTGTTAATTCAGATTTGCTCTGTCTTTCAGGGCCAAAAAATTACAAGGCTTTACAAGATGAGAAACCTAGTAGTTAGGGGGGGGGGGGTTAATCAATAGAGTTATTGGAAAAAATAAAATGGGTTTAAGTGTAGGCTACATTTGGAGATTATTCCAGGTTTCAAAGGAAATAGAATTCCTGCAATCATACATGCTGTCACTTATGTTTTGTTGGTAAATCTGTTAGGGTGATCCCTGAAAGAATGGCATTGCTTTTTTTACAACTAGTAATTTTCCAGAGAAGTACACTGACTTTGGATTGGTGCCGCTAATTAGCAGATTACATGGCAACTAAAGAAAACTCTTTCTTTAGAAAAAATAAATTACTTTGAATACATTGGAAAAATTAAAATAGAATTTGTTTGAATGGTAAAGCTACAATAGCAAGATTACAATTCAGTTAAAGGCTTGTCAGGAATGATTAGGACAGAAAGTTGAAAGGATGTTTGAAAATCGAAATCTGCTTTTTCGTTATGGAAGGATTTGTGCGTCAGGTTGAAAAAAATACCAAACTTTCCAACAATTGTACAATAACTTATAAACCAGCAGTATCAAACTGTTGACTCTCGTAATAGCGGAGAGCCCCAACGCTTCAGAACAACGATAAAAAAGAATATAACGAGATATCATGGAAACATTTACCCTGGGTACCAGACTCAAGGGTAGGAAACATTTTATCATGGAAATACTTAAATTTTCTTCTCCGTACAGAAACAATCTACATCATTCCTCTGTTTATTCGTAGACGAAAAAAACATTGAGAACGGGAGGGCTGTAGCCTCTCTTGGCAAACAACATTTATCGCAGGTCCGGCTCCATTCGGGAAGTTCTCTCTAAAAAAACAATAATATTGGGGAAAGATCCTTACTAAACTTTCTGAGCAATTAGCATCTTTTAGGCCTACGTATTTATCAAAAGAATTGCGAACCTTGAAATACTTCAATCTCAGTGAGTAAGACGATTATTGTATTAATTATTACCATAATGATATTTTGATTAATATTTTATGCAAATTCATAACATTAAACCCTAATTAAAATTGCAGCAAGGTTTACTTGAGACCTGATTATATACATGCTATAGAAGATGCAATTAACAACAAAGTGACCTCAGACTATGAACTAAGAGCATGGAGATTAATTCAGTACTAAGAATTAACAAGACTGTGATACGTCTTTTTTATTCTTGTTCAAAGCCATTTATCATAGTCGACTTATTAATGTTTGGTATTTAAATTACTTGCTTATCTTAGTATACACTCATTTTTTTCTAGAAACAAAGGTCGTTGTTGAGTACTCCAGTTTCTTAGTGTTCTGGAAATTTCAATACTCATTGTTTCTTAAGAGTTTCTTAATTATGATGTCAAGAATGATGTTATGAAATGTTCATGACCTTTTTTTCACGTCAAGAGATTCGCTGCCGTAATTCTTTATAAAAGTTTCATGGGTTGGTGCTTCATTGCTAGTTCATTTCATATGGATGATCGTGTATAAATCTACTTACGTACGCATAAACTAGTGATAAAGATTCAGGAAAAAATATGCTTATATTTCTTGTTAAAGTGATGCAAATAGGAACTCGTAGAGTTTTTTTTATTTTTCACTTTCAATTTCCTCCCTCACATACTTATTGGTTTGCTGGTAAAAAGTAGGTTGGTCACACTTGAGGCTTGTTATTGGCATTAGGTACAGTGTTCGTTGGTGCATTATTAGTTGCGTAAAGAAAGATATACAAAATTAACTAATGCGTTAACATGTGTATCGAGGAGATTAGAAAGGCATGGTGAATACGTATTTACGTCTCGTTATTTAAAGTCCTTTTAACATGAAGATGAAGTTTAGTAGCTAGTGTTGATCGGTGAAATTACTGCCACGAAGTAAGTAGCTACATTGCTATCATCATATTTAATGTTAGTGGTGATTTAAAGGATCATTTATCACTGCTCAGAGTCTTGTCTACCTTGAAAAATTCCCCTTAAAGAAGCCATTTCAAACAAGTCTAAAAGTGAAATCTGCCTTCCAAGAAATTTGAACAAGAAAATGGATGGAGGACAAATGCATGATATACAATTTATGAGTCCTTGTTCTAATCTCATGTTAAAGTTTGAAAATACGTCAAGCTTTTAATGATAATGATAAAATAATTGTCCCTTTGTGTCACTCAGTTTCTTTATTCAGCACGAGTTGAAAATACCTGCACTAAAGCTATTTTGTTGTAAGAGAAAAGTATTGATTCCTCCAGTTCTAATTTTCATAAGAAACACAATGTTGAACGCCTTTCTGAGAAATTTTATACATTTTAATGTATTACAGAAAGAATTATGATGCGGTTCCAAATCATGTTGAATTTGTTCTTAATTTTTCAAAATGTCAATATGCAATGAGATCCTATTTAAGTGAATTTACTGCCACGCAAAAACACGAAAGATTTTCTGCAGACGTTGAGTACCGAACTCTTATTAGCAATAGGAAGAGTTTCTGTTATAGAAAGATGCACAAGCACATGCACAAGCACCTCGAGCAAAAACACAAGTCCTGTTATAGAAAGACAAAATATAATTTGCCTTAATAATACTGAGTTCAGTTTTTGTGGTTCCATTGCATGGCTCTGCGTAGCTTCAGTATAAACAACAACAACAGCCACGTAAGCAACATGAGGAAAAACGCTAGCCCTTTCCCCATTAGCAAAAATTGTGTAGTTTTACCGCACAGGGGTAGCAGAAGCCTTAAGGTGCCTGAATGATGAAGTAATAAGTGGCAAATCTTTATCTTCTAAACCATTTTTCTTTGATATTTCTTTGTTATGTTCCTTTCCAAAATATGTGTTTAAGCTAGTTTTTTAGGCTTTCAGGGTGCAATGGCAAAATAAATTTAGATGATTATTATAGCAAAATCAAATTAAATGACAACTGCGAAAAAGTAAATCAAAATTTGATTAAAATCATCTTCTGAAACATAGCAGGTGTCACCTCGACATCCTGAAAGTAAGGTACGATGAAGTGTATGCGTTTATGCATGATTGATTTAATATTTTAAAACGCTTGCAGAAAGAAAGAACTTCTTCCACATCTTTCTTGAAGAAAGCTTGATTGGGTCAAGATTTATTAAAAATAAATGTTTCCAAAGAAGGACACCTCTGAGACGGCTTTCGTGATGAGGTTTGAGGTCCAGTTTGGGTGTAGAGTTCTCTTAAATAAGTTACTTTTCCAAGGGAAAAACAGGCGCTTCCTCTGCTTTCTCTCCAGCTACTTCACTGTTCCTATACCTCAAAAGCAAGCTGACTATCCTATGCTCACCCAAATTGGATTTTTTCTTGTTCCGGACTACCCATTGATACTAATACAGATGACAAAAGGTTACCTTCCAGACGCTTAAGAGCTTCTCTCCCTGTCGAAAGCATAAGCAATTATAATCTGCAGCTTTCCTTGAATTATTGCTTATTAAATAAAAAATAACATCACATACCTCCTGTATCGCATTTTCAGTTGTGACAAAGTCGGCTTCGAAGGGCGTTGGTAACTGAGTAAAAACAAGCTAAGATTTTTAAAACTTAGATTAATCATCATTCCACACAGTTTTTAATGAATAATCATCTCTTATAATTTGCTATTTGCATGGTTTCTTATTCTACATATAATGACTGTTTTTAGATAACCTGGAGTTAAAGGACCAAGAAAAACATTCCATTTTATCATCTGACACTCTTATCATCTCATTTTAGCAAAATTATGCTTTTACAAAAGTGTTATGAAGTAGCTTTGCAATGCCCGAGTATCACGATTATTGCGATCACCAGTGAACATTGGCTTTTGATTGGCTGCTTCAGACAATAGAAATCACTCCACTCACATTATAAAGGTTGTCAATTTTTTCTATGATTAGGCGTTCAGTGTAATTCAAAAACAAATTAAATGTAGTACTTGTATTCCAGTTTCTACATTTTTATAAGTGATGCTGACATTTACCGCTTATTTTTATCACTCTAACATTGAAACAAAAGGCACACTAACTTTCGATTAACTGAATCTTCCAGTTTGAACTCTTGACAATCGGCCCAACAAGCGCTAGCGACATTTCCTTGTTTCCGGTGTCATATGCGTTTTGGTACCCTATGCAAAAGTGTAACATTGTGAAACGCAATGTGTTTCAAATCAAGTGATTTCACCGTAGTGCGATATTATGACACATTATAATTAACAAATTGAACACAATACTTTTTTGTTTAAAATTTAATACTTTTTAATCAAGAAAACTTTGGAGTCGCCACTAATGTTGTACTCTTTTGCATAAACTTAACAAGGGAAATCACAGCACCGTTTCTTGTTAGTACCCCCTTGTTAGAAATAGTTCGATTGTTCTTTACATTCTGAACATTATGAATCAGAACATTTGTGTTCCCAGACCAGGTCGCATGCTAAATTTCACCATTTGTTTTGGTACCCTATTGTTTAAGTGCTCGGGTACGATTTTGCATAACCAAAATTGCCATGCATTTGTGTACCCGGACCGTTTTGCATGCTAAATTCCACCATTTGTTTTGGTACCCTATTGTTTAAGTGCTCGGGTACGATTTTGCATAACCAAAATTGCCATGCGTTTGTGTACCCGGACCGTTTTGCATGCTAAATTCCACCATTTGTTTTGGTACCTATTGTTTAAGTGCTCGGGTACGATTTTGCATAACCAAAATTGCCATGTATTTGTGTACCCGGACCGTTTTGCATGTTAAATTCCACCATTCGTTTTGGTACCCTATTGTTTAAGTGCTTGGGTACGATTTTGCATAACCAAAATTGCCATGCGTTTGAGTACCCGGACCGAAATGCATAAGGTTACCGAAACGCATATGACACCGGCAAAAGGCTTTTGTTTCTGCTTCAAAAGAATGAAGGCTTTTCCCTTTCAGTTGCAGTCCGATAATAAAGGCAATACTGAAGAGAGCTTCATTTCCACTAACAGTTGGGTGATACAAAAGTGGGTAAAGAGAAAAGGTATACACAATTACCTGCTATAAGTGCTCACAAAGTTAAGATGATGGCCAGTCCTTTATTTTCCTATCATTTTCCAGTTCTTGGTTAGTGAATGCTAAACGTCCGATGGCCTGTTGATTCCAGATGAATAGAAATAGGCATACTTTCAAAAGCGTATGATATGCTTTTGTCAGTATGTAAGGGAATTTGATCTGCTTTGGTAATCGTGAAAAAATCGAAAGACTTAATACCTTTGATAATTGCATACATGTTTTGCTGTAGTAAAGCCAAATAGTTTTCATTGATACGAACACAATATCCTTTGAAGCAGTACATCCTGCAAGGTGAGACAGATGTCGAAGGCAATGAAGGGGCTGACTGTGGAGTTTTTGGCAGCATGTTGCTTCTTGCTTTTGGCTGAGGGATTAATATCGGAGTTCAGCATCCATCGCCATTTCTAATGAAGACTTGTGAGAGCAATTGAAATTTTGGACTGTTGTGCACACAAAAGAGTTTTAAAAACCGGGCATGGTGGGACAAAATTTGGCAACTATGGTATAACAACGAGGTCTTACTGAAATACTTTGACGCAACATAAATCATTAATATAAGTATCAAGAATGCGCAGCAGACACTTTGCTTGTGCGTGAGCAAATACCTCATTTTAGCTTAAAGAGCATTGGCATTTTCCCCCGAATTCTGTGCGTCTTCAATTAATAACACATTCTCACGTCCAGGGGGTAACTGAGGAATTTAAAAATATACAGTATAAATACATATATGAATAAATAAATAAATAAATGAATAAATAAATACAAAAGATAAAGAAATAAAATAGATGAGAAACCCGAGTTAAATATAATGATCCATCACATGCGGAATAATTAGAACATAATTATGGCCTGCAGGATCAGTACTGGCATTTAAGAAAATACCCTTACATTATTATTTCAAAGACTTTGAATTTCTCCATAGAGGCTGAAATCTTGCATTTTCCAATGCGCCTATTTGAAATATATAAATTTGTGACAACATAAATATATATTATTGCTGATTTCAAAATCATGAACGCGAACAATGGCACTCAATAGGTCATTTAAATTGCCTGAATGGTTGAATCAAGAAAGCACAATAATGAAACATTTTTGCGGTTGAATTTGGATGACGACTGGTGAAAATCACTAATTATTTAAAATATTCTATTTACACCAATTATAATTTGAATATTCAATTGTTAAATTATGCATTTGATGGCCATTGCAAGTCTACAAAATTTCGTTGTCAGCCGAAAACATCATAAATTTTGCATACATAAGTCTGTCCATCTAAAGAATTAGACAATACTGGGTAGTCAAGGCGTTAGGCGGAAAACCTCAGCGAAAACCTACCTGGAAATCACAAAGTCGTTTCCATACTTAAACCAACGCCTTTCGACGTTTTGAAGAAGCCCCATTGAGAAGGCTGCTTTTAATTCTAATGAGTAAGTGCTCCAACAGCTTAAAACCAAAGATCATCTTATGTTGAGTAGGGCACCTAAACTACCCAGTTTTTCTTGCTGGGCGACTCATTATCTCGTTGAAATTCACATTTCTCCTTAATTAAGATTTGCATAGACAATTTCGTGGTCATCTTCTCTTTCTGCAAAAACAACCCTTTTGATTCCAGGATCGCGAAGAATGAGGTTAGAATTATGAAATATTAACTGAGCTCATCCAAATTTTTATTTACAATTTAAATTGGCTCTCTTGATCTCTCACAGGAAACTGAATTTTTTCGGGACAGCAAATGTTTGAAATAGTGGATTGGCCAGTCCAAAACCGAAAGCACAAAATGAAATGCAAAATAGCAACTATCTTATCCTGTCAAAAATCTAAATTATATAAACAAATATGGTTCCATGGTCATCTGCTTTCCATTCTAGATCAGGCTTTTAAGATATGGTCAAATTTAGAATAATGCTGACGCAGCATATTTCCGCTATGTAAAAACAGGCAGCACTGGCAAGCCACCTCCTCCGCAACCTTTTAAAATCAGTTGATGGTCTTGTTATAGCATCAAGCTTCGAAATATCGTCCTAGCATCTCTCTAAAACTTGTTGCCCAGCGAGTATTTCGTCTTCTGTTAGTAAAGTTGCTGTTCTTAACAATTAATTATCAACATTTGGCAAATCATCGGCATTTGAGTCATGTTTGGCACATTTCTTAGCCATTCTTGCTACTTCTCCATACATTGAATCTTTAAAGAAGTCGTGGAATCAAGACTCCTTTTGTTTGTTTCCATCCAGAAAAAAATTTGTTGGGTCAAAATTATAAACTTAACCTGAACATTCATATCCCAGATATAAAAAAATATCTCTCTGGTGTAACAATGTATAGAAAGAAAACAGAAAAATGCGCACTAACGAAGCATTTTAAAGAAAGTCATAGAGGGTCTTCTCTGAAGAGGATTTGAAGAAGATCAAAAAACAATCGTGATGTGTTCAGAAGGGGTGCCATGGATTCCTCATGTTCTTGAGGAATAAACCGGCGATTTAACAGACCATCTTTCAGGCAGTTAAATTGTTATATTCAATTCTATATTCAAATTATACTCAATATTTTCTATATTCAAATCCTGGCTTTCTAAAAAGTAACGTGCTACGCTGGGAAAATTGTTCTAAGAGATATTCACCTGAGTCCATAACTTTGTTTGATTTAGAGGAGGTTTGAGAAAGGGGAAGGAGTAGATTGTGGGAAAGGGAGAAGGAAAATGAGAAGATCTGGCATTTTTCTGGCATTGCAGATATTATATGATAACAGTTTAAACAAAAATTTAGATCTTGCTATGAGTTGGATTGAGTTTCACTGTTGTTTCATTAAAGTGGTCAAGGTGCCAGGGCGGGATTAAGGAGTCTATTCATTTACAGGTATTTTAGAGTACAGCTGTGATTACATATCGCTTTGTAGAAAAGAGAAAGTTACATGAATTTTGGGGAAAATATGTTGGTGTAAAACTGAAGGGAATAGAAATGAGTGAGAATTTCTATACACCATGGTATAAATGGTTTATATATATGACACATTTAAAAACTTTTGAACTAGCCACATCGACATGTCGTCAAAAGCATTCCTTTCACGAAAGGGGAAACATGCACAATGATTTAACGGGGAAAACAGTTATTTGACGAAAACAGGTTTACCCAATGTGCCTCGTGGCAGTTTAAAAAGTACGCATAGAGAACAGAGGATGGGAAGGGAGAGGGGATTGAGGGAAAACCACCAGAATGGGTCAAACCTCCAGAGAAAAGGGTACATTATATGAATCGAATACATTTCTTTTCCTCTATGCATACACTATGATTAAAACTTTTAACTATTCTTTCTCTTTCTTTAAACCTTTTTATGGAAAACTGGGCATTTAACGTTTGATCCTTTATTGGTACAATTTACGGACTAAAATGAGCTAATAGACCAGCATGTTGCTTGCACCAAATGATTGACAGTACAAAGACGCAAAGTTCGAGGACACACTGTATTCACACTTCAAGTTCAGAATATATGGATCAAAGAGTGATCCTTTGTTTAGGCAAAATTTAGACGCACTTATCAACAAATTCCAATACACCATAAACTCCTGATTATAAAAAAACTTACAGTCAATACGTTTTTAGATACGGATCTTAACACAAATATTACATGTCATTGAATTCTTAACAAGAACCTCTACTAAGCACTGTTAAAAATTTACAATCTTAGACAAACTGATTCAAGTGTAGGCTGCAGGCTAAAATAAAAGTGCAATGAATAGAGCATGCACATAGTATCCGAGATGGCACCGAGATGGCAAGTCTGTCACCTGAGAGGAGTAAGGTAAAAATAAAAAGATTTTATAAACGGAAGAGGGGTTGCATTCCAAAACCAATGGATACCCTTCACCTTGAGAAAAAGGTTAATTTGGCAGGTTAGTATACATGGAATGCGTCTAGGTATCCTCCTTCTGTACCTCTGACTTCAAACAAAGTGATGAAAGTCGTTTGTAGCACAATCATGCAACGAAACTCCCTTCACAATCATGCAACGAGCTTGCAGAATAGATTCATCTAAGATGACAACTCAACAAAGGGAGTATCTATCTACTGCACACTCTGTTACAGGATATCTGCGCAATTATGAATCTAAAATTTGAACAGGCAGAGTTATGAATATTCTGAAAAGGGCCAGAAGGCCTTTTTCCATGCAGAACGATTTCTTTGCTTGGGAGTACCTTGATTGGGGGCTTAAGTAGCTCTAGTTAGTTGCTGTTTATACGACACAGACTCGAGGGTAATATATGATCAATAATTAACATTAGTTGTATGATCTGTTTCCCATTTTTTTTAAAAAGGAAACCCTGCCTTCTTCCCACATAAAGCTAACGCTAAAGCCTCCTTTAAGAAAAAGGCCACTACCTCCTTTTTAACCTTGGAATCTACTGCTAACTGATGGTATATTGAAATACTTGATTCTCAACCAACGGTATTCGGTTAGGTATAAAATTGAACATTTTGCTATAAGATTTGGTTTTTAAATTAAAAAAGTTACAAAAAGTTGTGTTTTTAATATCGAAATCAACGATACATGTTGAAAAGCATCCTTCAAAGATGGATACAAAGACCAATTTATTCATAAATTTACATAACTGTTCTGGTTAAAAAGCAACCTACCATGGAGGCATTTATAGAACACACAAGCAAGAATCTCACATTTTCACGATAGCATATCCGCTCTTGTGTCGGTTCGCTTGGCAGCTTTTGTTGCTTGCGAAAGCTGTTTCTTCAAGTTTCGGTTCTCCTCCTGAATAGAAAAATGATCATCAAACTTGCTACATAACGACGGGACGCTAATTGGATTTTGCAGACCGATGAAAAAAATCCATGCCTAACTATGCAGAAAACAAATGGAAAAAGCATATCATTACATACATACGAAGGATGTCAGGTGTAAGGGATTATACGAAAAAGAGAAAATTTAAATCAAAGATCCACATACTCTAAAGCAAAAATTAAAAAAGCTTTCGAAATAAATCATACTTCCAGGGGCGCCCATTTCAAAAAGGGTTTTCTAAAAGTGTTAGAAAGTGCGCTCAATTCACAACGGACAACTCGCAATAACGGACAGCTGCCAATAACATACAACTATTAGAATAGGGGACAAATCATTGTGTATGGTTTGGCTGTCAGTACCATTACTGTTAAGTTCTTCTCAAAATGAACAGAAGCCAAATCAAGCTAATTCCTTTGAAATATTGAAAAACTTTTGATAATTTTGGGTCTGTTAATTTTTTTGGATACCTTTAGGTGAATTTTGATAACTCTGGATGGATCTCCTATATGAAAAGTTTGAGTGACTCCCCTGGGCTATACAGTCGGTCTTTGCCATCCTAAAGACGTTTCATAGACATTTAGTTTCAGAACATTTTTTATTTGTATTCATGCTTCTGCTAATTTTTTATTTATATTTTGCTTCTGCTCACAATAGTTTGAGCTTTTTCTTGAGTTTTTAAGATTTTTTTAAATAAAATAAAACAACCTAGGTTTTGACATAAGAAATACCTAAACCAATAAAATTTTAAATGTTTACTTGTTATAACTAGTAGTTAAAACCTTAACAAGCCAGATCTTAAGAAGTTGAAAACTTAAGAAGATAAAAACTTTAGAGGTTAAAATCTTAAAAACTCATTGTACATTAACAACAACAAATTTCGTCAGATAAATTTTGGGCGGAGAAACTTCCTTGAAAAATTCCCAATGGTTCTAACAAAGCAGAGATAGCAAAATGCTACCAATACTATAAGAGGCAAAGCCCCTAGCTCTGTGGAGCCTTTGGGGCTTGAGCAACCCCCTTGAAATTTGATGTTACCCCCTTGCAGCTTTTTCACACCCAACAGCATTTCAGGAAAATCAAAATGAAAAAGGTATATATTCATTGTTAATAGAGAGGCAAATTGGAAGAGATGCTTCTAGCAGTCAACGAGTCTCTACTCTCTATCAATCTGGTATGAAAGTTCATAAACAGATAATTATTTAAAATATAAGCATAAATATAAGAATCGGAAAGTATAAGACCATCTCTATTTTCAAAGGTGGCCTGGAAATTTTGCTGTCTTAGAGTTCAAATTTTGTGTTGAAAAGCTCGAATAAATTGAAAGAATGAAAGAAATGGTACAATTGAACAATAAAAGACAGACAAAAGACAGTTAGAGCTACTCTTATTGAGCGATGGTGAGAATGAATGCAGTTCGAACGCCGATATTGATGATGATGATGATGATGATGATGATGATGATGATGATGATGATGATGATGATGATGATGATGATGATGATGATGATGACGTCGACGAGGATGATTATGAGGCAATGTTAATGAAGATGACGCCGTAATTTGCATTGGCTAGAATAAAAAGATGAAAAAATTTGATTATTGATCTACACTCTTTTTTTATAAGAACAATTTTATTAGAACACGAGCCTCAAAACTGGTCAAAAGTTAAGAACAAATTAAGAACAAGCTGAGGCTGAGCTTCTGCAAAATGCAATTTTGAACAACGTTTTATCTCGAAATCGAGGATTTTTAGCGATGTGTGGGTGCTTTTTCGGTGAATATTCAAATTTGTCAGCAAATTAAGGCTGTCTCACTCACTTTGTTGGCAAATGAGGCCTTAACATCTCCTTAGAGCGAAAAAGCTAGCAATAGCACTGCTTACACCCTCTTAATTTAAGAACAAATTAAGAACAATCCAGCCTCAGATTTTCGAAAAAATTAAGAACAGTCAGCCTGCTGGTTCTTATGAAAAAAAGAGTGTAATGCGAAAGCTTTTCTTTGGGAATTCTCAAAATTATTAAAGGCAAATAATTTCGCCGTGACCAATAAAATCTAGTGGAAGAAATTTTCGTCAAAATATTTGTCCAAAATTTTGTCACGGCGATTTTTGCGGTTTATGTATCTTGTTTTGTATTGAAATTATTTCCTTTATCAACTAATACACTATTAATCGAATTGCAAAAATACCAGGAGAGTCATGTTTGTGATCTTAACAAAATTAGGATTGACAAGGAACAAGGGCCACAAAATATAACCGTATCAGTGACAAGCTGTCATCATCAGGAGCTATGGGATATTGCTTCCATTATTTATTTCATAGAATATTTTAAATTTGATTTTCGGAATTGAAAAATTGAATCCATCCCGCGTTTTCCAGTAGAATTTGTTAACTAATGCGTTTGCAAATGTCAACATCAAAAGATGTCGCAGACACTGCAGGACTTCACAAAGCTTAAACTGTTGACACAACAGCGCCATTTAAAAATAAGCTGAAAAAATAATGAAATCGTATTCAATAAACGTCGCGCGTATTTGCAAAACTGAAACCTAATAATTCGGCTAATTTAAGTGCAGCTCCTCAAGGAAATTTGCTTTTTGTTTCAACTTGTTCTGTTCGAGTTTGAAGTCAGAAATTGAAAATGATTAAAATTGACTTCAAAGGCAGCAAACTTAAGAACACAATTAGGTTCTATTTCTATCAGCTATGATTTTGAATTTTTTTTTTCTCTAACAAAACAAACGAAAATTTTGTGCGAGTGAACCGTATCGGGGAGCCTGCCAAGCAAAGAGCATATTGCTGCAAAATACGCAGCAGTAGGGTAACATAGCACCTATAGTAAAAAACAAGGAGGAAAAAGGTTATAAAGAAGAAAGGAAAGAAAAAGGTAAAAAAAGAACGAACATCATTAAAATGTTAATTTGTAATTATGTTAACTTGTAAGTATAGTAATTGTGTTGGCGATGGGCCATTTCAGCCTACAATCCTTATTGTAAAAAAAAATAAATAAACCAATTGCCGATAAATCAAGAGATTCGAATCCCGAAGAAAATCGCCAGTTTATTCAACTTTCTTATGATTCGTGAAACCGCATTTGATTTCGCGCAGTGCTCTTTTCTAAATACCTCTAGGCAAGCAAGGTTTCGGAAAACATCTGGAACAATAGTTGTTATTAGCAGTAAGAAGGTGTCCGCTTCTTACTTGTTATTTGCAGATGTCCGTCCTTGGGAAGTGTCCGTTACAAGAAAATTTCATTAGTGGAGGTTTTACTATAGTTTTAAAGTTTTACCACCCCATTGTCTCTTGACATCGTTGTAAAGTACTTAATATTGAAACTTTTATCGCTTTTTATGCAAAAATAAATGGCAAGGTAACAGCCCCCCCTCCCTCTCCGTAACGCAACAACTTTAAATGGGGTGGTATGCAACAGCTAAGATAGGAGCAAACATCGTATCTAGTTACATGTTCAGCATTTCAGGTGGCAGAGAATGTATAAAAAAGAACCTTACATTGAGGTTGTTTATAATGTCCATCAACTCTTTCTCGAGTTTCTGCGTTTTCTCGCGTAATTCTTTGCCATGTTGCCAGGTAGCCGCCTCTAAGCTGTGTATCTGCAACATCAAATATTGTGCATTTAAGCTGAGAATTATTAAACAGATATAGTAAATCAGCAATATTGGAAATGGGAGCGAGGGATGGCTGAATTCACCCTTGAAAACTGGCGTTAGGGTACCAAGCACCTTTTGCTATGATTGTGTGTTACATTTTTCAGACCAACATTTTCACAGGAATCAATTCATAGCGAATACCAAAACTTTTTGGCAATCGAAATGTTTTACGACTATATTCAAGATACTTATATAAATTATGTGTTTAATAATCTTACACCATGTCGGGCCCGCAGAATATATTTATTCTCATAAGCCCCATGTGAGTTGACTAGCATCGTTTCAACAGCAATCACAATGAAAAAGATTTACATTTGACAAAGATTTGCGACCGCCCAAAGAAACTCTCTCCCCGAGCTTAAAATGTATTGTTGTAATCTTGTTACCTGATTGGGAAGGGGATCAATGAGATTACCCGGACATCTTTCCGGCCAATCATTGCTCACGAGACAGAAGTTTTTTGTTCATTGTCTGACACATAAATACACGAGAAACGATAGAAGGTAAAAGTGGTGGGTTATAATCTGTAAGGAGCCAAAGGCTACTCCCTCGAATTCACACAACAACATTTTTGCAAGACCAAAGAAGCATATAAACTCTTTTCTTATAAGAACCAGTAAATTTGAGTTCGCGCTGATTGTTCTTAATTTTTCCAAAAATCTGAGGCTAGATTGTTCTTAATATGTTCTTAAATTTATAGGGTATAAGCAGTGCGATTGCTAGCCTTTCGCTTAGGGGAAGTTTTAAGGCCTGCGTGACAACCCTTATTTGACGCCATGCATTTGCCAACAAATTGCGTGAGACAACACTCATTTGCCGCCATGTTTAAATACTCACCGAAAAAGACAAAACAAATACTCACACATGACAAAACATCCTGGTTTTGAAATAAAACGTTGTTCAAAATTGCATTTTACATAGCTCAGCTTGTTTTTAATTTGTCCTTAACATTGACCAATTTTGAGGCCGGTGTTCTTATAAAAATAGAGAGTGTAGCAGGGTGCAGCCACAGACGGCGCTTGAACTATAGACTAAGTACCCAATTATACTCTGGGATGGAGAGAGGCACAATTTCCGTCAACGTCTTGTCCAAGGGTTCTCTCCTCCAAAGTGACAGTTCCTGGTTTTAAATCCACAACTATAGGATCGGAAGTTCTACGTTTTATCCACTACACAACAGAAGCCGTAGCAATCGCAGGTGGGCACATTTAATATACATGGTATCAGTTTCCAAATGGGCAGCAGCTAACATCACAGGTGAAGAGGGTGAAAAGTATTAAACTGTAAACCAAACAAAAGGGCAACTCTTAAATATTCAAGCTAATTGATTTTATTTCATCGTAAATGTCAACCCTTCATATTCATAAATTTGGAGCCATTTTCAAGAGTTTGTTTTTTTCAGAGACATTAATAACCTACTGGGTTACCCCTACCTAGGAGCCAATAAGTGTTTCATTCCCTTTCTCGAATAATTTATTTTAAATCAGAACCTACAAAAAGTCTCCGTTCTCATCTTAACTTTGAAGTGTCAAAAGTACCATTTTAAGGATTCATCGTATAGGATTCGATTTTTCGAGCCTTTTTGAAATTTCGCAGTACCCAGGGCTAATTTCGTCAAAAAGTTTGCCAACTTCCCAAGATTTTGTTTTCTTTCCAAGATCTACGTCCATTTAACAAAACAATTATCAACGATTTATAGTATTTGACGCTAGACGACAGGCAACTGTAAGAGTAACAAAAATGCAAAACTAATTATGACTCGATGAGACAAGGCTGGCTGGGCTAATCTAAACGTTAAAAGTGCTTGATGTCTTATGTTGAATATTAGCCACTAAACATTAATTTTAAAACAATTCTAACTAGACTGGTGGATAGCAATCGGATTAAACTATTCATTATCAACTGGCGTGGGCACATCTAAACATTCACTTCGGCAAAAAACGTAGGTTTTGCTGATTACTGATTACTTATTCATAGACTACTAATAATTCGTGTGAACCAGGCCAAAGAGCATCAATATTTGATGTGAGCTAACAGAAGCGATTGGCATTCTGCGTGTTTATTCATTGTTTTGAATCTAAAATGGTGATCTAAAAGCAGCAAGACACTGTATTTATATGACTCTGTTGCCAATTGTGAGTCGATTTTTCATAGGATTTGGATTCAATTTCCACGGTTCTTGCTTTTAAACCAACAAAAAACACAAAATATCATGATATCAATAGATAAAAACGAAAATACTTCAGTTTCTTTTTAATTATCAGCACTTAATCACAAAAATCATTTTGAGATTAGTACATTTTTAGCCTGCTTATTCTCATTGTAACTCAAAGCTTTATTTTCTGGCGTTACGGATTATTCTTCATCTAAATTCCTTATAAAAACAAACTCTTACGTAGCTTATAAAGTTCGCGCAGAACCAGCTTTTGGGGACTTAAAGGATGGATTTTACAAAGGGTCCTTAGTCAGGGGCTGAAAACCTCAGATGAGTGGACCTGCCTCCCCCCCCCCTCCGGTCCAATCTTGCCGCCATCCCTGACTATAAGATCAAAAGATCAAAAGCTTGCAAAACTGAAAGACACACGAAGCAAAACAAAAAACGTAGGATAAGCGTCCTACAAACCTTTTTATCTTTCTCTAAAATTGCCCTTTCTTTTGATTGTAGTTGTTTTTTCAAAACAGCAACCTGCAAAAGGCAGAAAATAATGTACTCACCACAAATGATTGAAATAAAACATCATTGCTTTCAATTTTAAGAAGTTCTAGAAGGCATGTTAATCATTGCATGACAAAGAAGGCAACCGACTGGGGTTTTAAACGTGTTATTCTTGCCACGAGGTGTTCAGTCCGGTAATCTTGTTATAGTAGACCATTTAAGAAGGCTTGATTAAAATGACACAACTAAAATTGACATTTCAAAAGAGACAAAAGGGACAAAGGAAGAAGCAGGCGACTCTTTTCTAAATTTATAAGACCAAATGGAAAACAGGGAAATTAAAATATTAAAATACTTCAACCAAAGGGGAAAGGGTATGAGCAATGAAACCTAATAGACTTCCAAAGTGTGACGTCACCAAAAAGCGATTTCTAGAATTTTTGAATTTTAACCACATTACATAAAAGATCACCACGAAATACTTTCAAATATGCAAAATTAAACAAATATGTCGAAATTGATTGAGATATGGCCAATGGAAGATTTGAAGTTTGCTAACGAATCACTGTTATTTTGGCTCTGTTCATAAAGTTATGAACCGAGACCAAAATATAGAGGTTTGATGGGGACAGAGCCAATACACATGTGGCCATATCTCTGCCATTTCGTAATACACTTGCCTGATTTTGCAAATTTAGAGGTATTTCATGATGCTCTTTCAGGTTATGGGATAAAAATTCAACAATTCTAGAAATATATTTTTGCGACGTTATCACTTTGAGCTTATAAGAGCCGAGTATATGTTGATTTGTAGGCCAGTCTTGTCTGTATCAAACATTTTTTAAATATTGCATATTGTCGCAGAGACTTGGAGCAAACGTAGCGTACAAGCATTACGATATTGAGCAACAGCCTTAATTCGCAATTTTTGCCCTATTCCATTAACAAATAAAAGACGTCGTATTATTGAAAAATCTGAGACTGGATGAAAAGGTTTTTGAATTAAGAACTGAGTTTAAAATGTTAAAACTTGTTTCTGTTATCTGTTGTAAATTGTAAGCATCCGAAAATCCAGACAGGTTTATTACAAGCGACATGCCATTCTTTTAACGTGAATAAAAACCACATCATAAATATAGCTGGAAAAAGCGGTATTTTTTAACTTAATAAATTTCTGTCATAAAGAGTCACGCTTATAAATGAAATGTACGGAGTCCGTTGATGACCAAAAAGTTAGCAATCAAAATTACTGGTCGACCTTAACCTCAGGAAGCTACTCGAAAATCCTTCTTTGAAAGGTGGAAATAATTATTTTTGACGATTAGGCCTCTATTTCCGGTTCAAATAAATAGATAAATAGAACGAATAGCCCGTTGTAATTTATCAAGTATTAAATAAATTCAATGTTATATCATGTTAAGCTTTTGGGTTTCTTAAAAGAAGCTATGTAAAATTTGGTATTTAAGAGACGTTAAAAAACGTTTAGCTTTGAAATCAACCAAAAATTAAAAAAAACTGAGTGCTAATCGCGGGTACACGAGTATTACGTGTTCACGTGGAAATAGCGTGCTTTCAAATGGTTGCGTTAGGAAAAATACCACTCTTGAAGGTGTTTTTGAATGCTAATGTTTTCAGTCACAGATTTGTCGTTGATTTGTAGCAGAGGGTAAACGAGCAAAGCCAAAACATGTCTCTCCTCCAAAACAATGCACAACTATCTGAAAGGAATTCATTGGGCTTCATCGAGCCTAGATATTGCATACAACAACATTGTTTGGAGGGGGCAACGGGGGTGCAATAAAAATGTCCAAAGATTTAGTGTAGTTTACCAAGACTTCTGGTAGGGGCTGCAGATTAATGGAACATACAAAAAAATCTAAATTGTTAATTATCTCGAAAGATGCTGACCAGAGCCGTGCAGGACTTTTGATCTGATACACCGCTCTAATTAAATCTACACTGACCTACAGGTTTAGCCTTAAAGTTGACTTTACTGCACGTAAGCTGATTTTAAATATCCCCACAGGCTTATTAGATTCTGGAGCTCTAGCGTCCCTTTAGGAGTTTATTATGGAATAAGAAGGATCCGAGAATCTACAACAATCATTTGAAGTTGATGAACTGTCTTTTGCAAATTTACAAGAACCTTTTATTGATACTTTACCTTAAAATTATAATTTACAGCATAAAACTTAAAATGCTAAATCATATGAGCTGCCAATTACTGCTTTTAGTGAAAAAATTGAGATAGTTGGTAAACACAGTACGGTTTGCAACCATTTATTTAATAACCAGCCGCTTGGCTTCGTTTTCATTTAGTGAGGTTTGAGCAAATCATAAAATGTGCAAATTCACAGCACAAAACTTTTAGGGTCTTGCTTTACAGTGGTCAAATAATTTCGCCAGCACAACTTGAACAGGCAATCTTACAGACAATGAAATAAGTGTGGCACCGCCAATTAATGTCATTACAAAATTCACAAACAAGCAAAATCTGCTTAAATAAACATTCACTAGGAGTCTCACCTTGCAAATATATATATTCCGAGTAAACGTTGCAGAGTTTGAAAGCGCGAAATTTTCTTCAATTAAATTCAATGAATTGTTATAAACTTCTTTGAAAACGAGGTAACTTCTGGGTTGGCAAGGGGTTCCATACAGCAGAGGGGAAAATTGCACTTGCCATGCGCGAAGAGCTCACAGGGAAACAAAAACAAGCTTTTTGTTCTGGCCCTAGCAACGAAATTGAGCCTGTAGATATGGATGACCATCTTAGTTTGGTCTCGTTTTAAACTCACACATGACTCACACGCAACGTCTTGACTCGGCAAGGTGGGAAAGTCGAAGTAGAACGCGCTTCAAACGCAGGAATGGATCAACCAATCAGAGCAATTTTCCCCTCTGCTGGTTCCATACACTAAAGACTCCGGTATCAAACTGCCACATTTCTTGGATAAGCATTACATAGTTTCGATCAGTTCTGATTAGGGTAGCTCGCATAAGGGGTTGCGCTACAATATATGAGACAGCGTTTCTTGCAACAGACAATTAGTAACAAATTATTGCAGAATCTTGTAACTTCTTATTTTACCGAAATCAAAGGACAAGCCCTGGTTATATCACTTCTAAGGTACAAGAACCCCATAGAAATGATATAACAAGGAATTCAAAATGTTTTTGTTACATGAAAAAAATTAAAGGGGCTGCTCTCTCCTCGATTAGCTTATCTATTGAGAGAGTTCCTCCTTAAGAAATTTCTGACTTACAAATTCCCTTCAAATTAGTTTCAAATTAGTTTCATGGCTTTGTATACAGCTTTTTTATTTATTATCATCTTATTGTTGTTAGATGAAATTTGTATGTTGTTTTGGGATTTTAAAATAAAAATTAAACTTGTTTCAATTAAATTGAAATCGAATATGATATATGACGTAAACAATTTGTTTAAGACTTTTAGGGAAGACACGGCTTGCAATAGTTACTATATGTTTCTGCATACAGACATTGCACGAATAAATAACGTGAAGAAATTTGCTTTTCGATATTTTTGGCATCTGCCATCGGTGATTTGGGATTGGGGACTTTAGTAGGCTTGGCTGCAAAGGACTAATAAAGGCAGCTGACAACAACCAAACTACATGAGAGCTTTATCTGAACTAGCGATCAAAGGAAGAAAGAGCTACAATAAATCCAGAAGGGTTTTAAGCAGGAGTGAAGTGCTACAGGTGTGTGAAAAGCTCAGTGGTAAGGGTCTCGGGCCACAGATCCAAGGTGGTTCGAGCCACTGAGATGACAAAACTTTCACTTAAAAAAAGAAGAGTCACCAGCTCTCTCATGGTAATCACGATGTTTGGTCACACCAACAGGAAGGACCAGGATACTGCTCAATATTTCTTAGTGTCCTTAAAACTTACTCAATATGCACAGATTCTGATCTAGATGGTAAGAGATACATATTAAGCGTTATAGGACTCGAGGGGGGGGGGGGCGACTCAAGCGCTGGGTGGGGATTCGAGTGGCACAAGGTGACGAAATTTTACTTTTTGCAATTTTTTTGAGATATTTTTGTAAAAGCTTCCCCCTTCTTTTCTAAGCACTACACAACTGGTTTTAAGAAGTAGCACAATAGGCCTATAGTGGTAGTTATGGTTCATGAAGCTTTCCAAAGTTAACTGTCTGACAATGCCTGATGTTGGAAACTTATTGCTGCTTAAGCGAAAATAACAGCAGCAGAAACTTCTGGAAGATGAAACCTTTGCTGGGCGTAACTGATAAGGAAAGATAAGGCGCTATAACTGCTTGTCAATAGAAAGAGCTAACTGAGACAGCAACATTGCAGAGATCGTCAATACAAAAATGCCTACCAAAAACGCGAATAGCAAAACAAACGAGAATTACCTCGTCTTTCAAGGAGGCAATCTCCGATATCTGATTTACCAGCGCTGTGTCGGTTGGAGTATCACGGTTTGCATCGCTACAATGGAAATCAACGTATATCATAAAACTATAGCTTATCGTATCAAACTTAGCCTATTGAAATGTTACGCCCTAAAAGTAATTATAATTTGCGACACCATAGAATAGTAGTTGTCTCTATCCAACTCAAATGACTCTTAGCATCCGCCCCTACTACAATGCTCTTAGTTGCTGTAATGGTAAGTGCAACTGCTATTAATTATTCTAATATTTCCAATATGGTTAAAGCCCAGACTGGCCTTACTGCTTTTTCTTAAAGATTGAGCTTTAACAAATAGCCAAATACTAACTAACAAGATGTCTAAGTCTTGATGTTCCTAATGAGATAGTCTTCTGCATTCACAAAATATCTATCTTAAAGTCTACTTTGCTGATTCGCATAAGAACTTGTTTGCTAACATAAGCAATAGTATCTGCTATAAACGGTAAAACCTCCAATTTCTCCTCAGTGTCAACCAATGTCTTATTGATGCTATCGTTATCATAACTATTTCCATGCGTGATTGCTTGCAATACTTAATGATCTATTAACAGAGGCACTTTATTTGAAGAAACAGAATTATCAGCAATTAAAAGCAGATTTTAATGCAGGCATCGTATTCTATCTTTTGCATTTCAGCAAGCGCTCTGAAAATTTTGCATCATTTGTCTGCAAATGATGGTACAAACAGGAAAGTTTATTGGGATACCTGAACTTTAGAAACAGTACATTGTTAAACTTCCTTTACATATTTTATCATATTTTTTCACTCCTTTCTATCAGAGCAGAATTTTACTGAGAAACCTGAACAAGATCTTCATTGCTATGTCTTCCAGCAAAATATGTTCTTATATTCATGCATCGAAAGTCCTACTGAAACAGTTCTTTGAATTCACATTTGGTCAAAATAAAAATAACGATTTGAAATAAGGGCTGATCCAAATCCTAAATGATAATTCCAAATTTTTGCACTTCTAATATTACAAAAAATTCACCCATCAAAAAAAGCTTAACAAAGAGTGGTTGCTGTTGGGCAATTCATATGAATCGAAACAATGATCTTTATGCAAAGAGGTTATGTTTATTTTTCATCTATTTCCATGCAAACTATCATCTGAAATCAAGATAATATGCTGCTGCAATTCAAGACGAAATTCTCCATTAAACCCAAACCTGTCTTGTATATTCTGAAGACCAAAGATCATGGGACTGTTGCTAGCTGAGCGATTGTTAGAAGCCGATTCAACAGCTGCAAGCCTCGACTTCATTTCATCTACTGCCCGATATTCAGTCGATGTCCTGTGACAAAAATAATCAATTATTTGCACATTTCTTACATTTTGTTATCTCGAAAAATTTGGTAACCAAGTGATTTGCAAGTTAGTTTAGCTTATCGTGTTTCATGTTTATCTAGTAAATGAACTTGACTTTTAAGAGAAGGATTGGTTACTTTTACTTAACATCATTGTTCAAAATTATGGCTCTTGGATGATTGAGCATATCGAAAAAAGGCTGATAAACAAAATAAATAACTTGAAATAGCGCGGACGAGTTTCGCGTGTGAGCAGGTCAGCACAAAGCATATTAACTATCACATATATAACGCGAAAGCTGCATATACCCGGTGATTTGGCGACTTAGAGGGGTGAATAATAATTAGGGAATAGTTAGGTAATTTTAATTAAGATTGATAGGCATGGGAATGTGAATTTAGCAATCATCTAGCCAGGTGTCGGACCTGGCAATTATGTTGAAAAAGTCGCCCAACATTGAAAACCACTGATTTTGACAAAGCGTGTTGTGTTAAGTGGGCTCAGCTCAGTGCCCATCCCTCTTATTCATATCCAAAAGTGGCTAGAGTTAGCACAGAGCTAAAGAAAGCATTCTTATCTAAAAGAAGTAGGCCGGACAAAAACTGAGTCTGCCTGGTCAAAACAGGATGAAAAGTCAGTCTAAAATGGCCAGTCATTAACATGGTGTGCTTTTGGAAAATAAGATTCGCCATCATTAGATTCAAGATATTTGTAACACCTATGATAAGAGCACAGGCAAATTCAACGAGACCGGTTATGATGATCATCAAAAGACCAGTTGGCAATCAACCTTACTATCAATGCAATGATCATTTTTAAACTGGAATGTAAATAAATATTAAAATGCGGCAATTACCAAGCGGCAATCACTTAATTAGTGCAATAACCAAGGGGCAAATCACTCAAAGAGAATCTTATACACCTTTTCTAAAAATCCTATTGTTTTATCTGAAAATCCCCAGAAATCCTTTTGTTTAAGGGAAAATCTCGTACGCTATTTGCAAGAGTGAATTGCCCCTCGGCAATAACGATTACAAATGCTTGAACAAAGCTGACTGTCATTGCTTACTTCTTCCGTTTTTGCTGATGTTTATCGGGTCGAACATGATCGTCATTTTTTTCTTTAGCTCGTTTCCTTTGCTTCTGCAAGTGTCTCAGGAAGTGTTGAGTGCAGAGCATACACAAAATTTTACCATCAACCTAGGAAAGTGCCAAATTACTGTTGAATTATTAGTTAAGAAATTGCTAAATATTTGGCTACACAAAGAGTTATACAAGGAACAAGAAAGCTGTTAGAATTTTTTTGAATCAATTTTGTTAGAAATAGATGGCTTCCAATAAACATGTTCAGTCGATACATGGATGACGATTGGGGGGTGGGCAAATATTCATTCAGATCTCCTAGTTTAGAATATTCTAAGATAAAGAGTGGTCCATTGACTGATAGACTTCAATAGTAATTGAGAATCTCAAACAATATTTTTGGAATAATTTAATGACAAAATATTTTCAGGACCAACACATAGCAAAATATTTTGGTTGATTCATGAAATATTTATCAAGAAGCTATTTATTTGTGGGTCTACTGCCTGTTGTTATTGATTTGACTTATTGGGTAAAATCTTTCACATTGATTTTATTGATATGTTTATTTGTATCTTACTAATTATGAAAATAAGGCTTTTCAGGTGCATACATATAAAAACCAAAAAACCAATATATACAATATCCATTATTTAAAATATTTTGATGAAAAGGGGAATACCTTGGCTCGCGATTCCTCACTTTTTGCAAATGCACATTTCACCCTGCACTGCTCACAGACAACTGGAGAGCCATATTTCTTTTCTGACTTTGTGCAATTGGCACATTTTGACCCTTTGAATGCGGCTCTTATGTGACAGTACTGGCAACTCTTTGGCTTGAAGATAAGAATAAGGCTTGTTTAACTTAAGATACAATTGACATGATTGTATCAAACTCAACAGTACAATAATTCCATTGGCTAAGATACAAGAATACATTTTTTCACACAGTCTTACATTTACAAGTTCTTAGTAGTCTTACATTTACTTTTCTCATAACAGCAAAAGGCAGATTAATGCCATAAATCAATTGCAGTTAAATCAGAAATCAGTTAAATCATACTGAAAAAATTATCACCATGAACCTTTATAACCTTTTTTATTTCTTCTGATATTTTGATATTTTTTACATTTCTAAGTTTGAAACTGCATAATTAAAACTTCATCACATAGAAGAATTAAGCCATGGTGAAACATGCAAAACATGTTACCACACCTTAAAATTAAAAATCAAACAAAAATCTTCAATGTTTGATTGAAGGATAGTCAGATGCATTGAATATTTCATCAAACATTTTGAAATGCCTAATTGCTCTATCGGCAGCACCAAAAGTATGCCAAATTTTGGAATATGCTATAATTATTGTCCATAGAAATTATCATATAAAATCAGAAGAACCCTGTTTACTACGACAAGAACTGGATTGGGGAGGGGCATTTGGTGCACAAAACCTTGTTAGCATCCATAGGTAGGTATTAAATGAATAAAATACTTGATGAAGTGCTTGGCAAGGTGATCAACATACAGAGCATTGAGGCAATTGAAAGTTTGGTGGTGTTTTGAACTCCAATTAAAATCAAAACTCTAAAACAATGTCTTGGAAATGCTTTTGACCTGGCTTAAAAATGTATAAAGACCAGTTGAACAAAGATCAATAACTGGTGAAAATCAGAAACTATTTGCTTGAAAGATTTTTTGCATCAAAAATTCAAAAATTAAAGTTTTGTGGCATTTTACATTAAAGGAACAAGTAATGGCTGCAGATAAATACTTTGAGAAAATTGTCTTCTTGGATTTAAACAACCTATCAGGATTATTTCATTACCTGGCCATAAGATTGTGTGTTATCTCTGCATCGCTTGCAAATAGGTTTGTCATTTGTTTTCCTTAAAAGTGATATTATATTACAATTTTCATAATTGACAAAATGGAAAAAACGTAATAAATCTACTGAATAGCCTTTACTGATTTACGTGTATTTATTGTTGTTTATTCTCTGCGTATTGCGGTGTTTCATATTTGCTACAGTAATAAATCTACCTGTTTTAATAATTTACCAAAGCCATGAAATTCCTTAAAAAGTAAACATAATGACAAAATACTTTTTGGATAAGAGCAAGAAAAATTATGTAGTGTAATTATGGATAGAATCTTTATTAAAACTTTAAGGAAAACTTGACCACTTGAGATGCCAATTTCAACATCAAACATATTTCATAGAGCTTTGCATATTTCACAACATCATTTCATGTACAAATGCATAATTTCTGACAGCAAATGATACCAAGCAGGTGAAATGTCGATACACAGAAGAAGACACCAAAGTACAGAAGCTTCTTTGATGACTGACAGTGTGTCTTCAAACCAATTTAAAACTTGCTTATTTTAAACCTTTAATCATAAACAATATATATCTGTATCTATGAGATTATTGCAATTCAAATAGAGAAAGAGAAAAATCACAAAACAAATAATATTTATCTAATATCTAATAACGTCATACAAACCTCATGAGATAAAATTCCATGCGGCAAACAGAACAGCAAACCAATGGATGCTTTTTGCGACATGACTTAAAAAGAAAAAAGTCAAATTTAATATAATGGACTGTCACAGCCATTTTTCAGAGCTAAGTGTATAAGGCTGGCAATGTTGTTTTTGCCCACAAATGGAGATGTACATGATAATCATCAACTGAGATACTGAAGTAAAGTAATGGATACGGTACAGAACTTGAAAATGGCTTAGAAAAAAGCAAACATTTTACAACATATTGGCTTTTTACAGCTTTAGCTTTTTCATCTGACACTCCTCAGAGCATAAAACGTCAGAATAAGGGTCCGAAAGAACACGATGAAAAATATATACCCAGTTGTGGATTGAAATAGGCCAATCAGAAAAACACAAGCACAAGACCGGTTTAGTTGACCAATCAGTGCCTCGTGCCTAAAGAAAAATTACCACTGGAGTCCAAGAGATTACCACTGGAGACAATTTTCGACTTTGCTGCTACATTTTTGAAATTGACCAGCAGACAATAAAACATACTGCAGAAAAACACAATAGGAATATAGGCTTGCTAGTAAGGAAACATTTCGGTGCATGTTGAGCAATACCGAACAACATATTTTCAATTTATCGGATTACTCTCTCTCTGATACTGAAACATTTGTCTTAGGTAATGGACTTGAATTTTGTATACCACCCCAAACAATCAACAGAGAGGAACTCTTTGCTGAATTTAAAATTTTACATGCTCAACTTACCAAACATGAGATTTCAAACCCTTTGGAATTTAACAAATTACGAGCACAACTAAGTGTCTGGAATGGTAATTTTGAACAAAAGTGTCTGGAATGGTAATTTTGAACAAAAAGGACTACATCAAAAAAATGGAGGTAATTCTCCACAACAAAGAAAAATTTGAAAGCAAATTGGGTGGTGTTGAAACACAGGACAAAACGGCCAAACTAGAGTGGATGTTTGTTGGAACTGGTCAACTCAAAAGTGTTGAGAAATTCATATGTTCTTTTGACATTAGAATTCTTTTCATAAATGTCTCTTTGAGTGAGGCCATGAAAATATGTGCAGATGCTTTGTACCAGAGCGAGCTTAATAGCCCACCAATCCCAGAGGAAGTATTCATTGAACTGATGGAAACTGCAACACGCTCAGTTGAATTCAGTTTCAACAATGAAATGTACCAACAAAAAAATGGTGTTGCTATTGGTAGCCCTATGAGACCTGCCTTTGCCAACATCTTTGTTGGCTTTCATGAAGAGTGTTTGTTCAACTACAACCAAAAGCAAGGTGTCTATTTTCGGTAAGTGGATGACACATATACCATTTTCTAAACAGTGGCTGAGTGTGATATTTTTCTAAAACACCTTAATACCTACACCCAGCCCTCCAGTTTACATTTAAAAAGGAAGAAAATAATTCCTTGCCATTTTTAGATGTTTTGGTTGAAAAGTCTAACACTGGATTTCTTACCCATGTATATCGCAAGCCTACTTTGACCAGTCAGTACATAGGCCGGAATTCATTTTGCCCAAAACAACACAAAGTAAACCTTGTCAACACTTAAGTACATAGGGTACTGATGATCTGCTTGAAATCTAAACTGCACGCTGAACTGGAAAAACTTAAATCGATCTTTCTGGACAACGGCTATCCAGAAGACGTCATTTTATCTTATACTAAAGAGAAGATCGCAAGTTTTTCGGCTGCTCAAAATTTTAGTCCGCAAAAGTGCCCAGTTTATTTAAAACTGCCATGGATTGGTAACACTTCCTTGCAATTCGAGAGTCAGATTAAGCAAGCCATAACTAAATGTTTCTTTGCTGTCAATCCTCGTATTGTTTACAGCACTAGGAGAGCCCTTCCATCCATTCAAAAGGATTGCATTACTACCAACCAAAAAAGTTCCTTTATTTATGAATTTACATGCCAGTGTGATTCTGGTTATGTGGGACGCACAACCCAAATATTGGGGGATAGGATAAAACAGCATGTTCCTTCCAACATAAGAAACAAAACTGTCCCTCAAAGAGAACAGCCTCCTTGATCTTGTAAGTCTAGAAACACTGTTAAAACAAATGATTCTGCCATCGGTCAACATCCTTTAGACAACCCAGATTGTGCAAAACTCTATAATGACAGAATGTTTCGGATAAATGGAAGAGCCAATTGGTCAACTATACCAGTCTTGTGCTTTTCTGATTGGCCTAATTCGATCCACAACTTGGTATATATTTTTTATCGTGTTCTTTCGGACCCTTATTCTGATGTTTTATGCACTGAGAAATGTCAGATGAAAAAGCTTTTATGTTGTAAAATGTTTGCTTAAATTTTCAAAGCCATTTGCAAGATAATTTTTTAAATATTTTTTGAATAAGAATTTAGAAGTGGTAGTTCTAATTTCTACAGGTAGATTATTCCATAATTTTGCCCCCATTTATTGAGTTGATTTCAAGCCATACTATGGCAAACTGTACACTTTCAATTGCAACCTGTGAGCATGAGGCATTTAAGCTGCAACAATGCTCATATATACATTACATAACTAAAATATGAAAGATATACAGGAACAAAGCAATACGACGACGAGAATCCAATGTCACAAGATAAAATTTTCAAAATAAATTAAATTTAAAGATTATACCATATTCTTTAAAGAATATAATATAGTATATTCTTATTCAAAAAATATTTATTAAAGAATACAATATAGTATATTCTTTAAATTTAATTCATTTTGAAAATCTTATCTTGTGACATTGGATTCTGGTTGTTGTATTGCTTTGTTCCTGTATATCTTTCATAACAACACTCATTGCAAGATTCACAGAATCCGGCGGACAGCCTATCCTGCGGTTCTTCCTTCTCACACATTAACTAAAATATACACGATTTTATTAATTTTGTGGGTTAGGTGCAAGTGCATGAAATCAGGCCTAGCTGCAAACATTTGCAAGTTTTCCTGCCTTGTACTTATTGGTCTTGATTTATAAGACTTTCTTGACTATATTGATAAACAAGACTCCACACACAATTTCTAAAAAATTATTTGATGAACTGCAAATTTAAAGATTAACTCATTGCTGTCCCCTCTTCCCCATAGAGGTGCTAACTCGCATTTACCAGTGAGTGATAAGCAAGTTTTCTAACTTGATAAGACATAAATTAAGTGCAAAGATTGTTAACAAGATATCAAGCGTATAAGAAGAAGGTGTCATGCAATAGTTTATTACTGTTGCATTAAATATGCCATGGCACATCACAAATTTAAAAAAAAACGAACAAAGTTCACGGTGTGCCTGCACGTGAGTTTTCTTTTCCTAGTAAGAACAGAAGTGAACCATTTGTAACTGTTTCATCAATCATGCATAAAAGTCTGGCCATTTGCATAAGAACAATTGCTTCAAAATCTAGAATAAGCTTAAAATAAATTTTAATATATTGTTCATCTATGAAATATTTAAAAAAGGCCACAAATTTTTGAATCAATGATAAATACTTAGATAAGAGTTGAGGTAAGTAAACAATTTACTGTTTTAAACTCATCACAAATCGGCATTATAGAAAATGAATGAGTTGTAGACCAAAGCGAGCTTGATTTTTGTTATGAAGCTCTAACACTTACCCGACAAAGTTGCTGATCAACAGACAACTCGCTAAATGGGTGTTTAGTATGACAATTCGTGCAAGCAAAGAGAGGATCACCGCCAGACGCCATTTTGACGATATTTTGATCGGTAAAATTCTCGTTTTCACGCAACTTCAAATCGATAAAATCTGAAAAAGAGGTTACTCAAGCTAGTACCAACAGCTCTAGCAGAGCCCGCGCCACGAATTTGAAAGTGGGGGGGGGGTCCAAGGCTAGGAAAAGTAGGGGACCAAGGCTTCATACCCATTATACTTCATCTCTTAACTACTTTCTTTGCAAAAAAGGGAGCATGGCTGCCCCGGCCCCCCTGTGGCACAGGCCCTGTCTAGCCCACGTAGCCCCCATTGGCTCTGGGTTTGCTTCCAATATCTTTGAGCATAGGTTGTAATGCTTTTGAAAGGAATTTTATACCGGGCTGCCACTTTTGCAGCTTGTAGCATTTTAGGACAGGATGAGATTTTTTGTGATGTGTATTGTCATAGCAGAAAAAACTGTTATTTTTGGTTTGAAATTCCTGATTTCTAGGAATCAGATTTCAAGATCACTAGTTAGAAAAAAAGATAAAACAATACTCTTACTTAATTGGAAAATTACTTCATGTTAGCATAGTTACCAAATTTGTTAAATGCGTTGATATCAGAACTTGACTAACAGTTAGGCTTGTTTGACTATCTTGAATTGAAGCAGAAATTACGGATAACATGATAAAGCATTTACACTGATTAAAGTAAATGAATGATTTCTCTTATTAAAGAAGGTAACACTGTTTTGTCAGTTTTCAAATGCTACTCATAAAGAATAATGTTTTTTCACTTATGTCAGAATCTATGACAAGAGTTTCATCAAAACCTACAATTACAGTCCCTCTTCTTGCTTCAAGTAGCAATATGTTCACAAAGACAAATAAGAAGTTAAAAGTAATCAGATTCAAAGAACTGAAATGCTGCGAATAATAATTCACCATCAATCAAACTAAAGTTTTTTATCTAACTTACAAACTGCAACATTTAAGTTTTCTATTTAAATAAAAAATATTACAACTATAATCAAAACAGTTTCTTTACTGTCTAAGGTTCTCCCAGCGACCAGAAGCTTCAATCAGCTGATTTCTATATTCTACAAGGTCTCTCCAGTTTTCTGAGTTACTCAACAAGTTGTTATGTTTTCTTATCTCTCTGCTAAAAGTTTTTGTTTTCAGCTCATACCACCTTGGCTTTGGTCCCCTAGTTTCCTCAAGCTCAGCATCACACTTGAGTTTTAGCAAATATGCCTCTTCCAGTTTCAATTTTTCTTGTTTCAGTCTTGCCAGCTCAAGCTCAAAGGGGGATCTGAGGCCTAAAGATCTTCGAATCTCCTCTCTGTAAGTTCTCAAATCTGTCTGTTTGAAGATATCCAAATCAAATTCTTCAAGTGGAGTTTGTGAAATATCTTCTTCATAATCCCTAGCAAGAGTACCTTCTGCAGTTGCTTTCATAACTGATGCAGTTAAGGGCTTTCTCTGCATGATTTCAGAAAAAGGGAGTGAGTTTTCATTGGGTCGATGAACTGGGTTAAGAAACCACCCACCATTGCCATCTTCTTCCCTATAGGCGCTACCAGAAATATCCTCTAAGTCAATTGCTAGATCGTACTTTTCAGGGTCAAGCTGGATTTCCTCTTTATGAGAAGAAGCATTTTTGTCAAGCAGTAACCCAACCTGAGACTTTGGTGGCTTGTTTGTTGATAACGGTGCTGAAATTGAGCGTTGGTGCCGCTTTGACTTCAAGCTGGAGCTCAATCCTTTTTGGCTTAAAAAGAAAAGTACTGATACATATAGGAAGGTACAGTAGCCATAAACAGATGGTGGAGTATCTTAACATTCCAGTCTAAAGTAGAGGGTTGTGAAAATTAGAAATTTACTGATGGAAACGTAATTGACAAAGACAATTTTCTTTTTTCTTTTATACATACCATCCAGGCTATTTTAATAGAAAAATTAACAACAATTTTATTGGCCAACTGAGTATTCTTTCTACCAAACTCACAATAAACTGGGGGTATTGCACCCCCTAGAGCCCCACCAAAGACGGTATAAATTGTACATTGAAAGTATTATATGAAATTATGAAAAGCATCTTCCAATTTTGAAAATCAAGATGCTTTTGCTCTAGGATAGCTACCGCTGTCCCTACTTAGACGCAAACATGTGTTCGCAACTTTTAATATGTGAAGGAGCTTTCGTCTTTCAAATATTTGTAATACCAACCTCATCAGTGGGTTTTCTCCAGTAATTTGAAGCACGTTGTTTGATGACATTTTTATTCTTTCTGGCGGCTTTGACCGTGTAATTTGAAGTTCCCGCTCCTTCTCCATATTTTTTCGCGCCATGCTACTTATGAACATGCTTTTTCAATATTCGTTTCACTTCAATTCAAGTTAGAGACATTCAACGTGAAGCGAACCAAGTTGTTGCTAACGGACTTCTAAAGGTTGTCAATGTTGTCAACAAACAGCAACAACAACATAATGAAATCCTTTCGGCTCCTCCAGTCCTCTGCTCTGTTCCGTCCTCTGGTCCTCCGAAATCGTTTATCCTGGAACATAACTTTTCTTAAAAAATGTCGTGTCAGGAGAAATAAACTTTCTTTAAAAAATGTTGTTTCAGGATTACGGAGTTTTCAAAACTTTTGGAAACTATAGGGATAGCTAACGGGAGGTTAAGGGGTATCCAGAAAATCCTTAGTTAATCTGTATAATCGGCCATCGGTGAGGTGAAATAGCACCTAAATTTTCTTCATTTATTTCTTCGACATTAAAATTTACTCTTGATGACCCGCCAACCAAGCTAGTTTTGAAGGTCCAGCTACATTACTGTCGAAACCTGAATTTCCTCACCAAATTTGTAAATCTTAGAAAATTGTTGACAATTATGTATTTGGTTTTCTTTAGACTGGAGAGAATTTTATGCCCCCCCCCCCTATTTTTGCATGATGCGTTATTGGCCATATTTTTGTGCGTGAAATCGTGAAATCTCGATTTTTTGTGCGTGATTTCGTGAATTAAGATTATTACGTGAAGCGTGAAACACGAGTTTTCCTTACGTTATTTATGTCGTGAAAAGGCTTCAACTATCCATAAATTTGTGAATGAAATTTTGAATGATAATTCAAAAAATTGCTTCGATTTGGTGCGTAATAAACCAACAATAGTTGGATCTCAGATTAGCATTTTGTTGAGTCATATCACACATGAGTCTCCATAGACTCCATAGTCATTATTGAATTTCCTGTCGTTTCTGCTGATTTGTATTTCTTGGAACAAACCCTTTAATGGGTATATTGCAGAGATGTATGACGAGTGGTGTACCGGAAACGGCGTACACCAGTAAACCGAAGCAGGGAACATGAAGCCAGCACCGAGGAGCATTGTTGTTTAATGAAATTTGCAAGCGTGACAAATGATAAAGAAAGTTTTTATCATCGAGTCATTTCAAGGATGCAGAGTTAATTTGAAGACAGATGGTAGTGAAGACGGCAAGATCCAATGTTTTTCAGGAATTTAAGAGAAAACTCAAGCACCTTTGTGTCAGATTTTTTAACGTTTTAGGGTGTCAGGAAGAACACAAGCAAATATGAATCTGTGAAGATGCGCTCCAATACGACCTGGATATCATGGCTTTACTGAAACTCACATCAAGGAAGAGACGACCACCACCATAACACTGAAAAAGAACAACAAAGGAAAATTTACAAGAAATACCTCAGTGGAACTACTTCGATTGATGCCCAACTGAAACCATAATTTCAACTTTTAAGTGAAAGAATTTCTACCGTCTTTGTCAAACTGAATAATGGCCATACCATCAACATTTTTGTCACCTACGGTCCCACACTAATCAAAAGTTAAGAAGATCCCAAATGCAGAGAAAGTTTTGTACGACCAGCTCAACCAAACGACAGCACGATACAGAGAGAAGATAAACACTTTCTACTAGTTACGGGAGATTTCAATGTGAAAACTGGGTCAGGTCATACTAGGTTTCCAGAAAACATTGGGAAATATGGAAAGGGACTCCTGAACAGCAGTGGAGAACAACTACTTGAGTATGCTAAGGACAACAAACTCATACTAACCAACACGCTATTTCCACTTATACTCGCTCACTGTACAAGATGGACATGCTCAGAACGCATCAAATCACACTTTGCTTTTGATGAACTAAAAGGACCAAATCAGCAAGGGAAGTGATGAAAAATGGAAATCTTTACTGGATACTGAAAATGACATTATAATCGGAGAAAAGCTCTTGCACATGACAGCACATGACGATGGAATCAATATTCAACAGCAAATATACCAGTAAATCCATAAAAATTAGAATCTTCAAAGCATATGTAAAAATTGCCTTTTTCTTTAACTCTGAGATATGAACACTTACAAAGACCCTGGAAAATACCATCGATACTTTCCAAAGAAAGTTATTGCGGAAAGTCGTCAATATCAACTGGCCAAGAAAAATATCCAATGTAAGATTGTATCAAAGCACAAATGCAAAACCTTGGTGTGGAACCATCCTGAAAGGAAGATTATCTTGGCTTGGTCATCTCAAGAGACTTCCACGTGAAACACCTGCACGAAAAGCTATATGTCATTTTGCAAAACCAGTGAAGAAACCAATTGAAAGGCCCAAAACTACTTGGCATAGTAGAGTGTTAAATGATGTGAAGGAAAACACAGGCATTATACTAACTCGAAGTCTAGAAAATAAACTTGAAACTCTTGAAATTTTGTGTTCCGACAGAAAAACTTGGAGTAGTGTTGTTATAAGCATCATGTTAGCTAGGTTAACGAAGATGTAAAAATGAAATAACGATAATACAGTTATCAAATAAATTTTGTACCAGAATGAAAATATAATAGTTGATTGATAAAACCACGGCGTTTCGAGCATGCACTCGTTATCAAGTGGCTGGAAAATAAACGAGCCGAGCAAAGGAAAGGCGAGATATTCGATATATAGAAAAGAATGCGAGATGCGAAGCAACCGAAAAAACTGAATAAGGGAATGGGAGGAAAGTAAGAAAAGAGAAGGAAATAGATATAAAAAGAAATTATTGAAGGAAATTAAAATGTTTATTAAGACCATTAGGATAAAGAGTTTTTAGGCCAAAAATTAAACGTTTCTCCAAAGTCTTCCGTTTGGTATACTTATACTGTCTATCAAGCTAAAAAATATGTCTTATGCTGTGGCGTTCACTTGTTCTCAGCCAGATAAACTGGTTATGTAATCATGACCTCGTTTATACGTGCTGCGCAGGAGCATAACCAACAGCACCAACAACACTTCAACCATTTCACTCAACAATGGCGAAAAAATTACACCTTCTGTAAAAAGCACCTGCTTTGTGCGACGTTTAAGGCAGAACTCATCATGTCTTCTATATTTTCTGGTGAAGCGTTTTCATCAGCAACGATCCAGAAGATGCTAGATGAAAACACTCAACTCATCCAAGCTTTAATTGACTACCAGAATCAGGGGGAATTGAAGAAATGTGCGCAGTATCAGCAGATGCTTCACCGAAATCTTGTTTATCTTGCCACGGTGGCGGACTCAAACATGAACCTACAATCTAACTTACAAAACTCCAGTGGACAAGCGATGCAGATGCAGCAGCAGCAGCAGCAGCAAGGTAACATGCCAGGGTCCATGAACAATGCAATGGGTTTTAGACCTCCACAAAACATGCAAGGCGGTATGGCGCAAGGAAATATGCAGATGTCAAATATGCCAGGAAATTTACCGAATGTTGGAGGTAACATGCCAAATATGCAAAGTAATATGCCAAATATGGGAACAGGCATGCCTAATATGCCTAACATGCAAGGTAATATGGCAAGCATGCAGAAGACTATGCACATGCAAGGTAACATGGCGAACATGCAGAATGGAATGCCCAACATGTCCACCAGTATGCCTAACATGCATGGTATGCAAACCATGCCAAATAGTATGCAAAGTATGGCTAATATGCAAGGAAATATGCCAAACATGCCCATGAGCATGGCTAATAATATGCCGATGGGACCGAATGATATGATGGGGTCAATGCAGCAAAGTATGCCTAATATGCCTGTGAGTAGTCAAAATGAAATGCAGAATAGCATGATGATGCAGCAGAGATCTGCAATGCCCGGGATGCAGTTTGGTGGGAGCATGCAGCCTAACCCTGGAGGATTTTAACATTCAAATGCTGTGGTAGTTGTGTGCCTTTGCTGAAAATATCTTGTTTTTTGGAGGCTTCTAGCCAATACAAAATTTTATAGAATGCAGGGCTTGATTTCCTTTCTTTTATAACATTGATTTGAGGGTGTTGGATGAAATCATCATGTCAATAAATACCTGGCAGGTGCTGAAAAAGTGTAAAATAATTCTTATAAATATACAATTTATCTTCTCATTCTTTAAAGCCATCAAAAAAGTTTATTAAATATTTTGTTTAATGTGTTGCTTGTAGTTTCAAGGATTTGTATATGTTTTATCATATAACATCTCTTATCTTCTTTTTTCAATTTTGTGTTGCTTTATTGTTAAAGATTAAGTTTTTGATAAAGGTAGTTTGAGTCCTACAAATTCATCATTGCAGTTTATTAGGTCATGAAAGGTATTGTTCATTTTATTTATATGAAAATGCTCTTTGTTCATTGTTCTTTATTTAACTTCACCATCCCTTTTCATTCCCAAATGTATCATTCCATCATAAGAAGCTTGTACAAGATCCTTTATAAATATTATCCTGTTGATGAAATTATCATACATGTTCCAAGAGATTTTGGTTCAAGTTTTGATTAAGTTAGAATAAGCAGGTTTTATGATAATATACTATGATTTAAATAACCATATAAGTAGTTAAATGAAAAAAAATTATGAGATGCTTATAAAGTTCAGCAGATTTAAGTTTATTTCCAGGTAGTAGAGCATTTACATCTCCACCAAATGTATAATACCTGTAAAAACATTACATTGATATCATAATATGTTATCATATATCTTTAATCATGGCTTTGAAAAAAGCAAGCATTTGTGTATGCTTAAGCTTTTCATGTGACACTTCAGAGTATAAAACGTCAGAACATAGATCAAAACACTACTATAGGTAATAGCTATACCCGGTTGTGGATTGAAATAGGCCAATCAGAAACGCAATCACATTGACTGTTTAGGTTGCCCAATAAGTGCCCTTTACCTAAGGTGAAAACGAATTTCTTCTGTCTACCCAATAGCGTTTTTTCATGCTTTTGTAGATAGATCTCAAACGGCTAGATGGAATGATATGGCTTTACCAATAGTCAGAATCTGGCTTTACTGATCTGGCATTACCATTAATCCAATAACAGCCTTTTTCAATCCACAACTGGGTATATATATTTCCTATCGTTGTGTTTTGATCTATGCTCTGACATTTTATACTCTGAAGAGTGTCAGACTCTGAAACTCTTCAGAATACACTAAAAAATGTTTGCTTTTTTCAACGCGATTTTAAAATTTGTTACCACAAAAAGTTTGTTTGCATATCTTTAATTGTTAGGGTCTGTGGATCACTAGATTGAAGTATTTATTCACATTGAATTAAACTGTCTTTTGTCATCTACTGCTTTTTTCTTTATAAATTGACCACAACTTTAGTAACATCTGGACTGGACTGGACAAATCTAGTAACGTGTTATTGTCTGGACTGGACTGCTGAAGTTGAAGCCTCTGATTTAGATGCAATATAAATCTGGGTCACATGTTTGTAAATTATTTTTCATTAAAATAATAGTTTTACATTTTTAGTATAAATTTCTCAGAAAACACACTTATCTAATACTGATAAGCTGTTATCTAATACTCTGGAGTAAACCTGTTTATGTTTGAATATTATATAAAGACTGTCTTAAGTTGGCTGATAAACAATAGCATCACAAAGACCTGCAGACAATACTTGATATGTAGCACGAAGCATCTATTGATTTTAAAAATTCAGCAGGTGACAAAATTAGAAATTTTTTTAGCTGAATACACTGCTGTTCCCAAGTGGCTCAAATGTCAATTCATCTGTTTCTTAGAGCTTGTAAAAAGGTGTCTGCAAACAATTACTAATATGCTGAATTTGAAATACTTTGTAGATGAAGAAATTGGAGCTTTGCATCAATCTCTATGTATTAATATTTAAAACTTTTTTTTTAGTTTACAGCATTGAAATTGATTTTGAAATACAACATATAAGTAAAGTTGCATCTTAAATATACAAATAAACAATGAAATAAACAATGAACAATAACCAAATAGAGAAACAATAAACAATTACTTATCTACTGGTTTCTAAGCTTAAAAGAACATAAACAACTGTCCCAAAAACCATTTGCCTGAATAAACAATTGAATAATCCTACATGTCATTATAATTTTGAAAAGCATGTGTATCACTGAGAAACTATATGCAATAATGCTTTATATCACTTTCTAAGAGCTACCTTAAATTTTCTCCAGAGGCAATTCTTTAATTTACATCAAACATAGAGTTTTACATCCAAATTTGCAGAGCATACCAAAAGAAAATAAAACATTTTCAAGGGCTGTCCATTGTTTTGATGAAGATAATGTTGAAAAGTTCAAAGAAGTCTACTTTTGCTTAATTTAAAAAAATGCTACCAAAATGCCAAGTATCATAAAACAAATATCCTCACATTAAGTTGTAAACGAGGCATCAATTGACAAACATAAAATTAAAGCATGAATAAATGATTGGCTAAAGTGAACAATTTTGTGCTGCTGCTTGTCTTTTTTGAGACAGGAACAGATCAAAGCATTTATAGACTGTTTCAGAAAACTTCGATTGAATTGCACAATAGAAAGAAATAGACAAGTAAAAGTGCCAATACATTTATGAAATAAGGTATGAAAGGTTTTTTAACTCTGACAAACTTAGCATTTCAAAAATTTTCTTGCTTAACTCAGTCTTTCCTAACAGAAACCAATCACAACAGTCACAGCTTAAGAATGCATTTGAAAATTTTTGGCACAATAGATGTGTTTTGAAAGAAATTATTTTTAAGAATGTACATACAAGAAAAAAGCTACACTTCGCTGTTTAGTAATAATACATTACTTGTAGCTTTTCTGATCTACTGTTTGTAAAAACTATCTACAATCACATATTAACTATCCGATTCATATGTTTCCCCATTAGTGCCCTCTTTCTTTAAACCCCCTGGCGTCCTTTTCATTCCCGCTGTTCCAATATCATCAGTTACCTGCCAATGGCCCTTGTCACCAGATATATTGACCTCAGGGGAAAGAAGGTTAGAGATAGAGAATGGGTTCTTAATGCTAGTTTTGATGGGACTCTTTCCCATAAGTTTTGGATCTTCCCCAGCAGAAAGCTTTGTCCGTTCATTTAAATCATCTGACTCTTCTCCAAAGGCTGGGTTATCAATAACATCAAAAACATTTCTAGCACGCTTTGCGTCCATATCCTCAACAGTACCACTGCTCTGATCAAAGGTTCTTTTTAAGTCTACCCCAGTTTTTGTACCATTTCCCTGAGATGTTGTCCTCTGTTTATTATTTTCAGCTGTTGTCAGCTGATATTTTTCTTTTGTCTCTTTTAGCTGCTGTTGTAGGGCACAAATGGTTGATTCCATACCCTCAACTTCTTCGTCAAGTTGCAAGACAAAGTCATTCAGTTCTAAAAGATAATTTTTGAAAAACTGTTAGACATTACAAGCTATATCTACAAACTATATTACTATCTAACAAATGTTTTCTTTCAGACGAAAATATAAACCTGAATTGTGATATGCTAGCAATGTTATTCCACTTTCTCAAGTAATACTTCCATGAGCACTATACCTTCCTAGCTAGGAAAATTGGATGAGAAAAAACCAAGTTTAATATAAAAAACTACCACCGTACCATCTTGACTGCACTTCAGTTCCTCATTATACTTCTTTTGCAGTGCAAGTTCTGCTTCTAGCTGTGCTATTCTGCCTTGTGATAACTGCTTCCCAAGATCTTGGTTTTCAGCAATCAACATTCTGCATTTTGCCATTAGCTTCTTTCCTGTCACACTAGAAAGGGAAATCAGAATGCCCAATGACAACCTTCGCCTCTTACAAATCTTTTGGTGGTTATAAAGCAAGATCCAATGCCAAAAGACCCCAGACTGCCATGACTTTAGTTTTTTGAAAGGGGTTTTTGTGAGGGGAAAGGTAATTTAGTGTCTTAACTATAATTCTAACGTTTGAAGCCGGCTTGTGCAAAGTTTTAGAATGAGAAATCGTTCACAAAAGGTATATAAGATATCAATACAACTACAAAACAACAAAACATCAAAACTTTGAATCCTGAGGTACACTATCAAGCTAAAAAATATTGTCTTTTGCTGTTGTGTTCTGTTGTCTTCAGCCCATATTAAAATTCTCATCTAAAAAATTAATTGTCGCAAAGCCTTGAGAACAGTAAATTAAAAAATTAAGATTTGCAGGCACAAAGCTGGCTAAGGTTGTACCTGGTTGCGAGTGCTACTAATTGTTTTTATATGACAAGAAAGGGAAAATATTCCTATCACACGGGAATGGCTTTATAGAAAAGAATATACAAATTTTATGGCATTTGCATCTTTAGTGAACTTTGAAGCCAATTAGAAATTACTTCTTGTAGAGAGCTCAATTTATGCTCTAGAAATCGCATCTACCCAAGGGAAATTAATATAAATCTGATTTGGATATAGAACCAGTTGACAATTTTTTTTGTTTTTTTTCACTAGAGAAACAAGCCCTCATACCATTTGCGTGTGATGCAGACATTACACCAATAAAAGTCTTTCAAAATTAAAAAATTTGTGATTGAATAAAAAAGCAGAACCATTATCCTGGATGCAAGGTTTCAGCTTTGGAAAGACTTTAAAATATTATAATGAAGGAAGCATGAGAATATTTAGAAGGAATACAGACACATGGTCTTAGTTGGTTTGATAGGGTTGTATCAAAAAAATCAAAACACTTTTTAATCAATGTTCAAGAGGGGTTTTAAATTACCATACATACTGCAGTTTCTTTTACAAATAGAACAAGCTGTTGTAAAAGCTTACTGCCACAAATCATCAACTTGCATTTTCTAAAATTTCATTTAAAATAAACTGTTTTCATTTAAAAAGTAAACATTTAAAATAAACTAAAATTAACTAACAGCTATTAATACATTTCATTCCAGCATTATACTACAATTTGAAAATGTTCTAAACAACTATTTCTTGATATCAAACAGGAACTAAAGAAGGACAAGGAATTTTCTAAAAAAACTGACAAAGTAGCATAGTTTTTAGAGATCTTCCAACAAATCTGGTCAACCCTGACTTCAATACATCAAAATTTTAATTGAAACATACTACTAGATACATTTACTCACAAACTAACAGGTTTAAATGTATCCAGATTTAGTCAACTATACTGTCTTTTCTGTGATAAGTTTAAAGATCTCACTCTAATGAAGAATTATTCATTTTATACTTCTATATTATCCAGTCTTAAAGATATGTTTCTTTTTCTAATAAAGAATAGTTCCCCAAACTCCACATATTCAAAATAACATTAACACCTTCCACTAATCAACATTTCCATACCAGCCAATCCTGATTTTGGATCTCAGCAACATTGTTAAGACAGCATACATTTAAGGGTGCAATTGGATTGTTGGATTGGATTGGAATGTTTGCAATATGTTTTAACACTTTTGCATGGGCATTAATAATACTTAATGAAAAACCACGAGGCCTATGTATCTAACTATTACACATAGTAAAATACATTCACACTAGCAAAGAAAAGACATTTTGACTACTTATGCAAGATACAGGCAGGAAGTGGTGCTTCTATACTGGTCCCTCTTTGTGAATTTCATTTCTTGCTGGTATCATCGTGGTAGTAAAACTCTGCGATTTCAACTCTATTACAAGTCTCGAATCTTCAATCTTTACTCCTAAAGGCTTTACAACCAATCTGGAGCATTCACTCATTACTAAAGGGTTTCCTTTTGAGCTTCTTTGGCAAGGAACTTCACTGCTAAACTTTGGTCATGCAAATGGTATAGTCTAAACAGAAGCACTGGTCATGTAGTTTTCCAGTAAGTTGAAATTGTTCAGTCAAAATTGAAAGAAATCTGGTTACCATGTGATCTTGTCATATCACCACAGTCTCTTCTCATTCAGTTCATTTTTGAATGGGGCTTGTTTCACCAATTCCAGAAGCATTTGTAGACTTTTCATAAGAATTACTTTGCAAGCATGTATACTATTAGTACAGGAACTATACAAACAGACTTTAACTAAAATCTGTGTCATGGTTACACAGACAAACGCTTCAGAAATTGCCCTTGCATAACAACAGGAAAGTTGTAAGGGCACATTGGTTAGACAGAAAGCTGCAAGCACCTTTAAAATATAGCTGAAGGGTACAGGCACAATTAATGGCAAAGCTAGAAACCACAAGAATATGGAACTTCAATGACCCAGTTCTAGACATCATATGCAAAACACCAGATGTAATGTGCTGTATAACATAATCTTGATGGTGCTGTGAAATAAGACTAACCAATAGCAACAACAAATTCATAATTCCAGGTCTAAGATATCGTTGGAGATGCATGAGTGTTTTACCTAGAGCCAGATTGCAAATCTATGGATACACTGACATGCCATCCCATGGGCCATACACTGGTAGCCACTTTTAAAAAACGAGAAAAAAAATTCTGCAACTTCCATCATTTCATTTGGAAAGCAACATCTTACTGAGAAATTCCCTTTTGTGTCTTTAGATCACTGTTTTAGGTCATGGAGCCTCTCTTTTTTTCTTACCAACTCCTTATTTTCAAGCCTTGTTACTTTACTTTGCCATCCAATTTACCATGTGATCCTTGAGACGCTGATGTATTTACTAACACAACTGCTTTTTGGGTAAGTTTCAAAGCAACTGAATGTTTGAAACTAAACTAAAACAAGCCTGCTAAACATTGATTTCGCCCATCAACTGGACAGAAAGACGTGAAAACCCAAAACATCACTTTGTCAAAAGGACAAGCCTACGGTAAGCAAGGTTCTATCCTTTGAAAACGGTTGTCAATGATGAATGAATAGCTTTCAAATTTCAGAGGCAAACAGATTCCTAAAAAATCATTGAGTTTGCAGCAATTTGTACGTCTGATGTTGTAAAAAGTGGTGTGAAATCAATAGAAATAAAAAGCTTGAAGGAAATCTAAACACACTTTTTCTAGAAATACTAATGTAGAGGAGTCTCTTTTCAGGAAAAATATTTTGATTAAAGTTTGCTTAATACAGACAACCAAAAACAATAAAGTTTATATAAAGTGGAGATTTAATCTTTTCTGGTTTGTTGGCAAGAATTCAAATGTCATTAATCTGAACTTATATTTAAATACATGTGCCTTAGCAAGCAAATTGTGAAGCATTGTAAGGTTTGTTTGTGGTTTGAGCAATTTAGCACACCAATTTAGTGTTCCCTCTTCAAGGCACACCAACAACAGAAAATTTTAAAAATGAAATGCTTTGGCCTATAGTCACATTCACAATATAAAGTAGATATGTTTGTTCTCAAAGTAGATATGGGAGAGTACTACAAGGTTACTCTGCTGATCACTAGACTATATAGCATTATTTGGTGATTATAATTTGTTTTCAAATTTTAAGACCACTTGTGTGAAATTGGAGAATTTTCCATGACACACCAGACAAAATCTTGAAGCACATTGGTGTCTTAGAACAACAATTAAATTAGTCACTTAAGTAGTGGCAGAAATTGACATTAAAGGGCCTCTTTGGCAGCAAATATTAAACCAATGATTCTCTTGTTGGTCGAGCTTGAATCATTTATTTTTATATTTTGATCAAAAAAGCAAATTTGAAACATAACATAAAACTTAATTGGTAAACGCCAGGCCTCTTGTTTCACAGGGGTGATAGCGCTCACCAATGTTCTAGTCAATTCATCAACCTCACAAAAACATGTCTTGCATCCTTGAGTGATATTCAGTGGGGTTATCTGTGTGAGTTTAAGTGATTTTAACCATTACATGCTTTTGAAAACAAAGAAAAGACTAGCAAATTTATGATTTGTAGGTAAATAATGGGGAACAGTTAAGAAAGAGTGCAGCGTTTGCCAAGGTGTGCACAGTTGGAAGGACAAATTAGGAAAAAAGATCCATACCAGGCTAGAGGCAATCAAAGGGTTTTGTGTTTCTGGTTCCTTGTTAAGAGAGCTGATACATAGCGGTAAGACCATGCCCATTTTTGCAAGTTACATCACAGCAGTTTGGTTATCCAAAAAGGAACTTCAGCTCTGACATCAGAAAATGGGTTCTTTATACCAAATTCAAAAGTATTCAATCATCAAAACTTTTTGGCACATTTGAAATTTGAAATTACTTTAATGCCTGAGATGAACTGTTTCGTGTGTTCAAATGTTCTTAATTTTCCAATTTCTAACTTGTGCCATGTTTCCACATGATTTTAAGTATAAACACATGCAGATAAACACAATTAAAATCACTTATGTATTTGGGTGGAAACCTGGCTGAATCACTCATTTAAAAACCAAAAGTTAGGCAGCTGTGGAGAGTTGATAGCCTGATACCCCTTCAGCCTTTAAGAAAATCTTATCCCAAAAAGGGCATGGTAAAAGGTCAAGTTGGTGAAATTCTGGAAACCGAAAATACCAGAACACTTTTTGCACAAAAATACATTTGAAACACAAAACTGTTTATGTAAAATAGCTGTTTCATCATTTGAGCATTGTTTTTAAACTGTTTCAAAGTTTTGCTTATCAGTGTTTTCAAACTTCCATGTTATCAAACTTGCATTTCAGAATGAGTGCCAAGGATGCTGATAAAAGGACAAAGCCCTTACGAATAGATTGATCTTTGAGATAACTTAAGGCCTATTCTGCATAAAGAATACAATGAATGGTAATCTTTTTTTCAAATATGTAGCAACCTATCAAATTAATCTTTTTGATAAGGTAATCCTGGAGGCCAGAATGTTATCCTTGAATTGAATCTTTATGCAAGTTGTATTGTCTACATTCTAGCGCGTGCATGGCATAACTTATAAAACTAACTCTCTCTAATTCCTTGCCCCAATCACCTTTACACCTGGTCTACAAAGTCAGGTAAACATGAAAAATATATACAAAAAGAAATATCACCTTGTAAACGACACAAAGTGGTCATTTATAACTACATAGTAGAGGCAATATTCTACTCAAAATATTACCACATCTCATTATAACGAAGTCTAACATTCAAAATATAAACAACACACCATACTGTATACTTTAATAGAAAACCAACTTGTGATTTAAAAAAGGGTTGGCAAAATCTTCTCCATGTATCATCTACAAAAGTATACAATATGATGCATTGGCACATAAAAATTCTGTAGGCCCGTAACAAATCACTCATAAGAGTGAAAGGTGACTCTATTTTAAACTTTTTAAACTAAACAAATAGCATAATTCTCGACAGTTTTCAATTTAACTATTTATGGCAAACTATTGCCATATTTGATAGTGTCACTTTTAAGTGCCAGCTCAAGAGATTCACCTGAAATAAATATTGATTATATATAAGTTTATGTTTTTAAGACTGAACAGCAACAGTCTTTCCTTGTGCAGTGCATGTGTTCATTTGACAGTTTACTGTAAGGTTTTTCAGCCTCCTTCTTAATGTTTGATTTAAATAAGTCATTTTTACAAACCTATCGGGTGTGAATTTCCACGCGCTTAAGTCATTCTGTGCTTGTTCTAATTTGTCTTTTGTTTCTCCAAGTTCAGTTTTCATTTTTTCAAATAACAAGTTCACTGATGGATCTAAAAGTGTTGACTTCAGCTGGCTTGTTGCAGGTGTCTGTGACTGCTTCAATTCATGAATTTGTGTCTGAAAATAAGCAAGAGGGTTCAGTCTATTGATAAGAGTTTGATGATAAACATTACTGAAAAAGCAACTTTTGTTTCTACTTTGCACTTAACAGGATGTACTTCTTCCATTATGAATTATTAAGAATAATATAAACTAATGATTTAAATTGTTTGGCAGTTACTAAAATTTCCTTTCTTTTCCATGCTCTTTAAAGGATAATAGTACAATTTCAATCAGTATATACATTATATTTGGAAGGTATCACAGGCCTCTCCGGGAAAAAACAATGTGGGCTATAAAAAGCCTTTGCCAGTTTGGCTGCATGGGCTATTTGGCCCTTGCAGAACTGTTGTTAACTTTTTTTATATTTGACTATTTACAAAAGCAAAAATACATTACCTTGCCAATACTTTAAAAATTATTCACCTTAAGAAGGCATTTTTTTGTATTACTACCTTTATATTTTGTACTACCACTCCTTAAAACGAAACAAATAAGGAACAAAACTTTTTTGGAATAGAGCAAGGTTTTGTTAGGTCTTTCCGGTCAAATGTAGCTTTTTCAGGAAGGCCTAGATTATATATATATCATGACTTGAAAAGAAACTATTTCGTATTTGACAGCATGGTGTAACGTTTCTCACTTTCATCTGCAAATACTTGCAATGGAAAAGGAGATGTGTTTGCACGAAAAGAATAAAATATATATAACATGATTAATTTGCATGGGTTTTGCCCAAGTGCGGGCTATAGCCCATGTCTCCAGGAAAGGCCTGGTATCATTACCACAAACTGCTTGTGAATGCTATCACAAAAAACTCATCTACAATGCACATTCAATGTTAAAAAGTAACAGGAAATAAAGAACAAAATTATTTCTTGATCTCACCAGCAGTTCTTGCATTTCTTGCTCCTTTGTTGCTAATCGCATCACTAGAACATTTTCTCTCCTAGTTGACTCCTGCTGTTGTAGCTTTAGTTTCTCCTCAAGTTCTGGATTTACTTGGCCTAAAAATAATGACAATATGTGGTAAATATTTACTTAAACAAAGTGCTTGAAGAAAGAACATGGCTGTTGTTCTACCAACACAATAGATAACACAAACATAATGTAATAGGTAGTATAAGACTTTTAATAACATCCAACTGACCTGATTTTTCATCAAGACTTGATATGTATTTTTCAAGCTCTGTGTACCTAGTGTAAGATTAACAAAAAAATTGAAATGCATGAAAATAAAGAACAGGTTGGAAAAATTTCATTTCCAATAAAGCTAAAATCATTTGATGTTCTCATCCACCCATTAAATATTTTAAGAACTGAATATATACAAAGTTCATTATATATTTATTTTACAAAACCTCAATAATGTGTTTCCAATCCAAATATTTTGTGCAGACAATGTTCAAAATCCTGAAGAAATGAAACATATATCAATACCTAGAGGTGATTTCATCTTTGCTTAGATCTTTCAATTCTGATGCTTTCATGAATGCCTAAAAGGAAATGGAAAATCAAAGAAAACCGAAGAGAGCAAGTTGACAACAAACATTAAAAGCCAATATCTTCCTGCATTAACCAAGAATACACCTTATATAAGGTATCAGTTTTATCCACAAATCTTGAGTCTCCTTTGTCTTCTTGATGTAATACTATACATTGTTTCTTTTAGGTTTCCTGTGTAGCATTTATCTTTGTATTAATTAGTTAAGCATACTATATTTATTTATATTTAAATTTTGTCTTTTTTGGATTGTATGTAGTGGAATTTTAAAATTATATGAAACTGAAACTGAAACTTAAGTTCCACAAATCTAGCCCAGTTTTTGAAAGTTACAGCGCACAAAGTTATATTTTTATAGAATTATATAAATTATATGATATTTAGTCATTATAAAAAAAAGAAACAGACCTGGAAATTATATTAATAATGTGCGCCAAACCTGGCAAAAATCTTTAAATCTACATGTATTAATATATTCTTGGTGAGCTAAGAATAAAGTCATGGTGATAGTTTACCTTTTTTGGTGGTGCAGACTTACTGTCAGACTTGTCACCAGCTGTACTCAACTCTCCTGGAAAAAAGATGAAAGAAGTGAGCAGAAATACCAATCCAATAGGTCAACAAATCTGACTCCTATCAAAGGAGCTGGCAACTCTAAACCCCCTACTAATCTACTTTATCAAGATCTCAAGTATGTAAGAAAGTTCTAAAATTGTCTTCAAGAATTAACTGTTTTGTTTTCATATTTAACAAGAAAGATTCTGATATATAACAAAACGTTTTACTGAAATTTTTTCATCAAGGTATAATTAGACTTCACACTTCAATTACAAAGAAATACCGAAAGATTGATTTAAATATATATGATTTAAATAAGCATAAGCTTTCTGCAAGTTTTGTCATATCTCTCTTGTTCTCTCTTGTTCTCTCTTGTTCTCTCTTGTTCTCTCTTGTTCTCTCTTGTTCTCTCTTGTTCTCTCTTGTTCTCTCTTGTTCTCTCTTGTTCTCTCTTGTTCTCTCTTGTTCTCTCTTGTTCTCTTGTTCTCTCTTGTTCTCTCTTGTTCTCTCTTGTTCTCTTCTTGTTCTCTCTTGTCCTCTGTTCTCTCTTGTTCTCTCTCTCTCTCTCTCTCTCTCTCTCTATCTCTCTCTCTACTCTCTCTCTCTCTCTCTCTCTCTCTCTCTCTCTCTCTCTCTCTCTCTCTCTCTCTCTCTCTCTCTCTCTCTCTCTCTCTCTCTCTCTCTCTCTCTCTCTCTCTCTGAAAGATTGGAATTTCATCTGAAAATGTATCATATTCAAAACAAATAAAGTAAGAAAAGGAAGAGAACCTAGGTTCACAATCATTCCCATCATGGAAAAATCTTTAATAATTCCTGAGAGGCAGGTGTGTAGATTATACCAAATTTGACAAGATCCTTAGTGTGCACCATTGTACACATTAAAAGCAGGGCACCCTGTGCACAGGTGTGTAGAAATTGACTAAAAGTGCCAGGTGCATCAGAAATAACGGTTTACCATATCTAGATTTAATGTATCTAGTTTTCAGACTGGAAAATTATTCCTATGCAGAACAGTTTACTTTGAAAACTTGAGACTGTGCCTTTGAAATCATACACTCCTAGTTATTCTTAATAATTCTATTGCCAATTAATAACAACATAAGAGTTAATAATGTTAAATGTTATTGTTATTGGGATTTTGCGTGGCCAAAATGCAAAAATGTGCAGATGTGGTCATGGGCAATATATTGTGGGTGTGGAACAAAGTTTCCAGTCTGGTCCAATTTGATGTGCACTTCAGTCCAGGGTTACTATGTGTGCATTTTCATAGGTCATTACAACAATTTGCACACTGACCAAGAAGGAAAACCTTCAATCAGAAACCTGGAAAACACTTTCTCCACCACCAATATCAAATGAAATAGTCCTTAATGGCTCAATAAGTAAGTCTTCAAAACAGCCTTGACCAAGTTTGGACAATTTGACGAGATTGATGGGAAGCTTTCGAGTACATGTTTCAAGTAATATGTCATGTTATGATAATATGTTATGTGTTACGATTACGCATGGCATATGATAGCTGACAAGGCTACTTTTCTGCATTTCAGAACAAACATTACCCACACCCACTTCTGTTGACTTGATCTACAACGTCCATCAAATCATGCAAACAAACTTGGCCTGATTCATTATTTGTCTAGCACCATGAAACGAAGGCAGATACAGCCGTAAAAGCTTTAAGACTACACCTAGAGTGAGGTCAGTCCACTCGCTCCCATGTCTAGGCCAATAATCGCCTAATATTCCAGATACAAACCTTCATTTTTTGAAGCCATCTCAGCACTCCTTTCAATTTTAAGGGTTTGAGACAAGCAAAAACTTGATCCACTTTCTAAAAGTTCTGAAAACCGATCAACTTCATCAGAGATAGAAACCTTTGTTCAAGCCATCTTGATTCGACCCGCGCTGCTTATGAGAATTGCATTGTGGATACTCTGCTACTTCATGATAAAATCACAAATTATTTTCCACGAAATCTAGAAACGAGGCAATTATAAGAGGGCGTCATCAAACTGTTCGCGGGCCTATTCAAATCTTTTGAAATGGAAAACACTGAGAGCATAGATGGTCCCAAACCATCTTGGGCTTTCCAACGAAAGGCTGTATTCTTGAACCCTAATGATGTTCTTTTCGACGAAGGAAATGAAGCATCCTCCGACAATAAACATTATGTGACAGATCAAGAGGTTGACCAACTCTCCGAACTTTTTTCCACAATTGACGCTGACCTTGACAACGAAGAATATTTTGAGTGTGAAGTCAAAGGGTGTAAAGAAACTTTCAGAACATCAAGCGCATATGAAATACATGTTTCGTGTTCACATAGGTTTACCTGCCAGGAATGTAAACGAAATTTTCCTACAAATTTCTTACTGGACATCCACATAGCAGAGAACCATGACAGTTTTTTTCAAGCCAAGGTAGAGCGGGGCCAAGCAGCACATGCTTGTCTTGTGGAGGCATGTACTGAGAAGTTTGAAAATGAAAAGGACAGGCACAAGCATTTGATCGAAGTGCACAAATATCCATCTAACTTTAGATTTAACAGGCAAAAAAAGCAAAGAAAAAGTAAGGCAGATTGTAAAGATAACTCAATGGAGGTAGATGACTTTAAAGCAGGGTCCGATGCTGTGGGCAAAAATCCTGCTACAAGAAGCAACTTTAGCAAGATGAAAGAAGTTAAAGGAATACCAAAAACTATCAATTTTGGTAGAGGTGGCTCGAAATCCTTTCAAAGAGGACGGGGAAGAGCAAAACCCACAATGAAGGACAAGTCGTGTAAATAGTAGTCCTACGCATTCAATCTTTGCACATGATACTAAAAATTGCAGAAAAAAATGAAGCCTTAATAAATTCATATGCGATGGTGCGACTCCGCTTTTTTTCATTTGACGTAAAATTTAGTTAGAAATACTTGGGTTGAATCAAAAAATATTTGTTGTTTGTAAATAAATTGGTTAGTTTTTTATGAAAAACTGTTGCGTTGCTGTAACTTTATGTCTGCTTACTGTTTTTGACCCGTTTGGCAGCCAGCTTGAAATCTCACGACTCAAATTGGACATTTAAGAGCATGTTTGTTCAAGATGCTTTGTTTACAAAAGATTTTAAAATTGAGATTGAAAACACATTAGCTTGCAAAGATCATGTAGGTTTTAGTTTGTAACCAAATCTTTTCTGAATGCAGATCTAATTACAAGTAAACATATGCTCTGCATTTGAAATCCGATTTCTGCATGGGTCTAAGTGCCAATTGCTAGTGAATTAAAACATTAAAACACTGTTTAAACAGATGCCCCACCTGTCTTCCAGTATTACTTAGAAATTGATTCCTATAAAAACGTGAATATCACTATTCCAGTCTAGTAACCATGAACTCTTTTACAATCGCACTTTTAGCTTCAGTGCTTGCTGTTATCCTTGGGCAATATGTGGCAGATGCGGAATGCATGACAAACGTAAATGGTTGCAGTGTCCCATTCAGGGGGAAATTTCCCTATTCAAGATACTTCAAGCCAGCCTGCAATAGACATGATGTCTGCTATCGATGCGTAAGTCTCCTTATGAGAACTCGAAGGAGAGTTTAGTTTTAAAGCTTAATTTCTCCAGCGAATTTGGCATTTCTTAATGTTGTCTCTCTTTACATTGGTTATTATTCATTTGCATCTAGCTCACACGGCATTAATTGAATATTTGATCACAATTCGGTAGTGGTGTGTTATATACAAGAAGTTCAATCAGACGGCTAAAAACTTTTGGTTGGAAGAAAAAATGACAGAAGACAAAGACCAGCAATAAGTAATAACTCTTAGCAATAGATACGGGTAGAAGGACTAGAAGAGATGAGAGAGGGTGGGATGGACAAAGGCAAGCTCAATAGTGATGAAGCAAAACAGATAGAACATGAAATCAATTCTGACTTACTTTCAATGCAGAACGACAACACTCACTGATCACTGAATAGATCCTAAAATCGTTTCCACAAAAATGCATGCCTCTATAAACTAACTATCAATAATTTTATTCAGTAACCATAATTTTATCCAATATTTTACATAACTGATTTACGCTAGTTCGATTCAGTTATTCAATTCAAATATACAAAAAGATTCTCGTCGAGGGCAACACGAGAGGAGGGGCATTACGTTGCACCGGGTTCAATGATGCTGAGATTTCAATACTTGATAAATTAAAGCAGTTTCTTTAGACAGAACCATTGCTTGGTATATTGTTTATGTGAGGTTCAAGAGCATTTTTTCATGAATAGGAGGGAAAACCTACTTCAACTGTCGTTAATATCAGCCGTAATTGCGGACGGATGTTCTCTGACCGGGGAGCTTGTGGGTCGTCATTTTTAGAGCTTGAATACGTAGATGTAGATGATCTGGTTTGTTACAGGGTTCTCATTATGGCTGGTCTAGATTCGACTGTGATAAAGGATTTCTGAACGATATGTTGGACATCTGCAGCAAAGAAAGCGCAGCACAAGCACTTTCATCAGCTAGCTTGCAAGAAGCGCTAGGATTCCTTGACACTTGTCGAGTGGCTGCCCAATCATACTACAGTGGTGTGCGCCTTCTAGGCGGCTTGTTTTACAGAAGGAACTCTCCAAGCTGGTGCAGTGAAAACCCATGCGTCAAAAATGAAGGATTGCCAAATTTGACAGTAAACTAACAACCTTTGTTTATTCTGGTTATTCTAAATATGTTAACTAATGAACTAGAACTGCATCTGTACTAGAAAATTTAAGTTTGTGAGATAATAAATTGTTTACTCACATATTTCTTGCCTAGTTCCTTTGCTCGCTGTCTTTTGCCCTCACCCCGAGTTTTCCCGACGGGTACCATTTCCTGCTGGGTAGACAGGAGGTGCGGTCCAAATCGCATAAAGCCCTGGTCAAACGATCCTACATTTCACCCAACATTTTGCCCGACATCATGTTTTGCAAAATGTTGGATCATTTGACCACTATGTTGGGTCATCCAACAACGTCATTTTTGATACTGGGTGAAATTTGACCTGCGGTTAATAATGTTGGCTGCCGACATCCAACAATTCTATTGTTTTGAAGTGTTGGGTGAAATGTTGGATCCTGTGACCACCTCAACCAACAGTTAGTTTAAGGGCGCCAGAATTCAATTATCGCATCATTGTAGTTTTTTGGGCTGGTCAGTGCTTCCACTTGAAAGGATTAGTCCTTTTCTCGGGAATATGTCCGGTTGGAAGGACAACAGAAGAAATTTAAAATAAGAAAGAAATTGGAAAGATTTTCTAAGAAATTGAGAGGAAAATGTTGAAATGCGTTTAAAACATAGAAAATAATATTGGAGGGTCAATAACGCAAGAAGAGTAAAGGTTTATGCAAATTTTGGCCTGTAAGCTGATTTGTCAAATTCGAACAGCGTTAGGTTTTTTACTTTAGTTGGTTGTATTTAATTAACCTTTTGTAGCTATTTTGTACAAACCAATTCAAAATAAAGAAATGAAAAAATGACAATGGATTCTCCCCCGCATAATCAATAACTCTTGTATAGTTATTATGACATTACAAAGTGCTTTTTTAAAATTTGAATTTACCGAACCTTAACTTTTACTTTAACCGTCTTGTAAGGACCATTAATCTCTAAAAGCCTTTTTTGGAATTCAAGGAGCTCTTTTTCTGAAATTCAAACTTTGTACTTATGAAAAACTGCACAGTCAATCCAGTGCTAGAATTCAAGAAACCCTGGTGTGTACTTTAAAGCAAAATTACTTAGGAAGGCAAGAAAGAACAGATTGTCGGTGGTTGGTTAGGGATCACGTAGTAGTGCGTAGGGAAAAAGATCTCGTTTTTCTAGAAATGAAGGATTATGTTGGTTGGTTCTCTAAGAACATTGTATCTTCAATGTACCTTTGGCACCTGGGCCAAATCAAGTCAAATGTGGAAATGGAGTAGACGAGCGAGGGGTGATTCACCCAAATGCCACTCCCTCCCCCTTTCCGGCATCTTTCATGTTAATTTACACCGAAAATTATAACTGAAAAGTCACAGAAATACAATATGCAAAACCACGGTTACAATACAACCTGCAATTACTGGCCGGTGAAACCCCGTTAAAACCGTTTGCGAAATTTTCAATATGTTTGAAAAACTTATATATCTTATCAAATTATCTTAATAAACACGACTTGCACTTGATCACACGATAAACGATATTATAAACAAAGTTTTTTTGGATCAACCTTATGTGTAGCATTATTATTTTACCAAATCATATAGATACTCCTGATGCCTCTCAATGTATTACATTATTCTGTTTGAAAGCCTACCTCTAAACGAAACCTAAAGTCTTACGTGAAACAGAGATTAAGAAAAATCCTTGATATACAAATCTAGTTGGTATCGATTCCCACAAAGTTCGTCAGTTAAAGAGACGGGTGACAAGGGCTAGAGTATCGAATAACTCCTTGTGTGACTGGTACAAGCAACAGCTATCGACTTGCATGTTCTAGAGTTGTTTCATAGTTCTTCGTTTCTTTGTCAAACAAAAAGCAAGGTATGTCAATGTTTTTTGTTTAGTGTGTACGTTTGTATATCTGACTTTTTTCAACGAAAATTATTATTGCCTAAAAGCCAGGTAGCTGGGCTTTGTGATGGAACAGTAAAAATCGTTTGGTTGCAAACATCGTTACTGATAAAAGAAAAGTCAGAGAATAGTTTACTAAATGTTTTAGGGGGATCATACGTTCGTCGGATACACAATAATTTTGTCTTATGCTTTAGGTTGTTTTTAGTTTATTCTGCAACTCTATTCAGCCTATTGAGCAATTCATACAGAACCTCTTAGTTTTAAGGGTTCTAAATTCCAACAAATTTCCAACTGAAAAAAGATCCACCCCCTCTCTCAACGTAAATACCTTCTGTGACAAGATGTAACGGCATTGACGATTCAATTGAAAACAAATCGTGTATTGAAGATTAAGCAATAGCCGATTAAATGCTGATCAAATGAAATTTTATCAGAGTTAATTTCACGAGGGATGTTGTAGAATTTGACTTCGCTAGTGGTTCTTATTTTAGCTTATTTGTATTATTTTCATTTGGGGGTCAATTATCATGTTTCAGTTTGGTATTTAAGTCCTTATGTGCTTCTTTGATGTCATTGGGAAGTACAGGGGAAAAGGAGTTCTGTAGTTTGAGCTTCTGCACGAAAGTGTGGGTTCCTTGACTCAGATGGGTGCATTTAATTGCTTGGGTCGGGATTATCGTGCTTACTTCGTATGCTGTTTCCACGCTGTTCTCTTCTCCTGTCCCTCCCTCTCCTTTCGACATCAAGCGTAGTGTGTTTCTTCTAATACTTATTTATTAGGCTAGGGCCTGTTTATATCACGGGATTTATTTCTCTGATGAAGCCCCGAATGCCGGGGGGGAATATTAGCCATCACTTATTTGTGTGTTTGCTGTGGTTGATTCTCGTCGCGTTGTGATGTTCTTTATTAACTACTATTCATTTCAAAGTTCTTGTTATTTTTCGTTTAGGAAAGACTGGTCTCTTAATTCAGTCATGTTTTCTCTTTCCCCTCTCATATCTTAAGTATCTAAGGTGGGACTGGTGCATCGGCTCTATGGTGGGGGAAAGGGAAATTTTCTTGTCCATTCCCTGGCCAGAACTTTAAGCTGCTTGCACTCGAGTCTATTAAGCTATATCAAAGGTTAGGATTTTGTATGGGTTAGTTGAAGCAACTTGTGCCGATGCACCAACAACGGCCGAACGTTGTTTCCTGTGATGAGGGAATGTAGCCTCAAGACCTGATCTGATGAAGAATGTGGCAACGTTTTCTGAGGGAGTTTTTTTATTTTTATTGATGGAATGCATTCAAAATAAGAAATTAACACCAATTAACAAGCGTTTTATCGAATTATAATTTAAATGGTCAGGCTTCAATGGATGCTCTATACAATAAAAAGATCTAAACTAAGTTAACAAAACAAATAATCTTTGTGAAACTTTAAAGCAGAAAGGTTAGTTTTAATTTTCCAAACTTTCAATTGCCCTACAGAATTGTTACCAACTATCGCCAAAACCCGTGATCTTACTACATTTTTCTCAAACCGCCATTGCGTTTTCTAGTCAACAGATTTTTAAAGTTTAATAATAGGGAAGAAACGTGGAAGCATAGTATTACACAAGAGCGTGTGTTTTACGCAACAAATCTAGGCTATAAAGTTTCAGCTACTACAAGGTGACGAATTGATGGACTTTATTTGAGTTTCTACGGCGAGAGAAGACTTTATGGCATTTAGATACTTTCTAAGGGGCCTGTCATAATAATTGATATATAACATTAACATAGTAATAAGCGATGGGAGAAAAGTATTTGGAAAAATATCCCACGACCAGGGCAAGAAGTGAACCCACGACCAGGGCAAGATCTGATCTAACAACCAGGGTAAGACTTGAACCCACGACGAGGGCAAGACTTGAACCAACGACCAGGCAAGACTTTAACCCAGGACAAAGGCAATACTTGAATTCATGACGAGCAACTCGGTGGAAGAGTCGCTGGTAGCGGGTTCAAGTCCAGCCCTGGTCCTGAGACTTGCTCACATTTTATCATAGAACATTTTCATTTTTCATATATCATAGAAATCATACCGTGGTATCAAGTTTTATATGTTAGAATTTCAATGGGTGCCTATTTTTGACTATCCATGCTTGATATTTTATCAAATAAATGGCTCAGTTTTTTGTTTTTAGTATTCAGCCGTTGTTACTTGAAGATGTATGACGTACGTTTCCACCATCATTGTCACAATTACATAGTAATTACGTCACAACCACTATCAACTGTAAGAAGATATTTGACACTAACCAGGATCTAAGCAAAACCTTGTAAACCAAATATATTTGCAGGCAATGGACTAATCTCATGGTAAACCAACCGACACAATCTCTCAATCTTTGGGTTCCACTTTCAGCATTCAAGTTCTTTAACGCTGTAGCAATTTTCAACACCTAATTTTGATATCATTAATTTTATCATTTGGGGTCCTCTTCATAATTATTTATGCTGGAAGAAGGTTTTATTTCATTGTGACGACATTTCAATGTTACATTTCATTACGAAAGATTGGACTTTTGAAGTTGGCTGTGAACAATTTGCAAAACTTGACACAAATGACGCGAGACACACATATTGCGTCTAAAGTGTTAGCCAAACAGTCAACAATATTGATGGCAATATTATTTTTTAAATATCAATTGTTTCTTACTTCCTTGCTTCGAGAACTAAAGTTTCTTAATTCAAATTTCGTATAGAAAATTTGTTTTATAAAAGATGATTGTAACCTTTAATGACAATATGCAGCTACTAAATTACTCCATTCTTAAGCAGCTACTCCATTCATTACAATAAGCAAAATTTCAAACCGGATGTCATCGAAGGAAAGGTCTACCCTTAGAACCAACCGTAATGTGACAAGCAGTTATGACATTGCATTCATCTAGTGTGAAGTGGATATTTCTGCAGTGGTATGATAATGCTCTCACTGGTCAGCTATCTAGGTTGCAAATACTGTCATATATCCAATAAACTAATATGAGACATGCATCAAAGAACATACGAATGATCCAACACCATCACAGATTTTGGTAAAATAAAATTGGGAAGGTATCTTCAACAACTTTTAAAATCTATTTGCAAAACATTTGATAATGCACAAAAAGGCTTTGGGGAAGACTTGTGATTTTAGCTCAAAGTAGCCACTACTCATAGTAACTTTACTTTTTCAAGGGACTTTACTGGCAATCCTGACGTTATCAGGTTACTAACAACTCTTTAGCTACTCCTTTATTGATATAATTGTCTCATTTTATCGCTAATAAATTATTTGTACATTTGACTGCGCAATTTTATGTTTGTCTGTATCATCAAAATATATTCTTAAGATCTCTTCGTACAATTGACTCTCTGAAAAGAAGACCTTTCCTTGAAAACCAAAGAATAGCGTAAAGAAAGAATTAACAAATCTTTTAATATCTATGAAAATATTTTATTAAAGAACCAACCAAAGAGCATCAGAAGATATGGCAGCTGTTTTTTGTCTGGTTGCAATAATGCTATGCTACAACGTGGTGCAGTTTGATGCAAAGTGCATATCAGATGACTATGTAGATGGCTGTAGTGTTCCGTTAAAGAGTGTTTTCTTCCCATATGCATACTATTTCGAGAAGGCCTGCGATAAACATGATGTTTGCTATGACTGTGTAAGTGAGGCTTCAATAATTCTAAACCAAATCATCATTCAACTTGGTAATCAAACTACAAATCAAACCAAATTCAACAACATTACATGGTAATATTCAGTACGCGCAGTTGCATACATTAGTACAATAAAATATAGAGTAAATAGTTTTTGCTGTACTATAAATGTATATACCTCTTTTTCTAGTATTATTCTGATTCTTGTTTCTCCTCCGCAGGGGCCGAAGTTTGGTTGGACGAGGTATGAGTGCGATGCTACGTTTCTGAAGAATATGATCCAGCTATGCAAGAAAAATAAAAATCAGGAAGAGTGCACAATACAGGCCAAAAAGTATTATAGGGCAGTTCGTGCATTGGGGTTTTTCTTTTTCAGGTGGTATTCTCCTAAATGGTGTCAGTTACAGGAATGTGCTAGGTCAAACGGACAACCTATTAAAGATCATTCGTCCTAGGGAAACATTCAAGAAAAAGACGTTGAGGTACAAACTAACAAAAAGTTTCATGTGGAACAAACATTTGGAGACTTTGTTTGACAAAGCTTTATGTACAGTTTTATTTTAAAAACATGTCAGAAAATTCATAGATAGAGATATTTTAATGTAAATGTACAAAAAAGTCCAAGAAACTTTAGCGAAAATAAATTGTCGGATTTGTTTAAATTTTGTCAAGCAAAAGCAAAATTCTTTCTGGATCTTCCTGATTAATGATTTAACTAGGCCAAAAGGCTTTCTTTACGTATTTAATGTTGCATATTGGACATGACACGTTTACCAACGTGGGCCTTTTTCGAAGCAGCATGGGGAAAAGTACCTTTCGCCATTAAAAAATTGGACTCTTTTTCTTCCTTTTGCAGACACAGAAACGCTATCATTTTTTCTGCTCGTTCAAAAATTGAAGGAAATGACTTACTTGATCAAATTTAAAATTCATTTAAAAATATCGCATGCAGTGATGCACAAATTCTAGCTTTTTTAGTACAGTAAGTTTTAAAATGGCTTTGAAAAAAGCAAACATTTGAGTATACTAAAGCTTTTCGTCTGACACTCTTCAAAGTATAAAACTTCAGAACATAGATCGAAAACTCTACGCTAGGAATTTTATATATATCCAGTATGTTTGCTTTTTTCAAAGCCATTTTCAAGATCTGTACCATCAAAAGATTGTTTGAATAAGCTTTAAGTAAAGTGAAATGTAACAATAAATGGGAAATGAACTGCATTGTATCAACCAAGACCAGCTGCTCCTCTAAAGTTTTTCTTTAATTTGACCTAAGTTTGTTTCATCTCAACTTCATTTCAAGTAATTTGACTTTGTTGTCAGTAATACGCAACAAGGTCGTGACCGTGCTATCAACGTTGATTTTGACATCCATCAATTCATCAGATTGTCAAAATAGTATCGAATCACATGTCCATAGGGCAGGAACTTGCAACAAATCGAAAGAGATTTGGTACCTAGTCCCCCTAAATTTGGAATGAACTGCATCTTAGCGGTGAGGCAGGCACCAAGGCATCCAATATTTGAATATCTTATAAGACTACTTATAAACACCCAGATGTATATCAAGGTAAATTTATATGAATTACCCGACAAACTTTTTATGCTACTTTAATATTTTTCAAATAAAGCTACAAAATTTAACGATATTAGCTACAATATCGTGACAAATCATTTATTTATCTCCATAATATCTACTTTTGTACGCGTTTATTTATTTATCTAGCATTCTAAAATTGATAGGGCCACGGTATGTAATGAATATAGAATGAAACGAAATGAAGAGCTTGGGAATATTTTAGCTGGAATCTCGCTAGATTTTAAAAGGAAGCAGTTAGTCAAGAAAAAATCAAACGATTGTTTCATTTCATTTTAGAGATCATGATTTTCGAACATAGGCACGAAGCATGAAAAAGTTGTTCTAGGGTACCACATTTCTGTAGCTTTCTGGTTTCTTGCCAAGATGAAATCGATATTGGATGCGGAAATGCGGCGGATAATCCGCACAAAAATCAATATTAGACTTTAGACGATGCGTGAAACTAATGACAAAGATAGACAATTAGCTATAGATTTTTATACCTTAAGTCCTTTCCTTTATTTTGATAAGTCCTTTCATCATATCAAAAGAATTGCCATCTGGCTGTAAGGAAAGGAAACCACGATCTTTGCTCTCCACCAATAAAAATCCATTAGTGTCCAGGCCTTTGATAATAACCTCTTCATCATCTGCCTCAATTTTGACGGCTTGATTGCTTAAAACAAAGGAAAAATTCTGAAAACCAGTCGCAGGAAGAGAGGTAAATGATTGCTAAACCAACTTTAAAAAGAATGGCTAGCACTTGGGACTTTTCAAAACAAATTGCAATTACTCGTATAGAATCCAAAGATATCAGGATTACACTTTTACTCAAATGTACATATTTAAAAAAAGTAACAGTAATAATTTTTGAAGGAGAAGAAAAATTTTGAGGTCGAAAGAATTAAAATGAATCCTAGATAATAGACGAAAGTGAGTTGGACACAGGATTAAAAAATCTAACTTGATTTAAAGCGTTTGTTGAACATAGGCCTCGTACCTATGCAGCCAATATTTACAATAGATTTTGCAGAATTCCTCGACTCCATATTCTTCGAACTCCGCCATGATTTTCTCAATATTCGAAAGCGTGGCAGCCACTAGTTCTTCAATACAAAAATGTTCTAAATGAGTGTTCTTTTGTTTATTGTGTTCATCTATTACCGAATTCAGACATATTGTAGGCTTTTTATTTTTGACATTTACACCAATACCTGTAAAACAAAAAATTAACATAAAAGAAACAGGAGCAAAAATATTTGGGACTATATTGAAGAATTTTAGCTGCTAGAGATCTATTGGGGTATTAGAGCACCTGTTAGCCCGAGCAATAGCAAGACTACAGAAAATAACGAGAAAATCGAACAAGTTATTGTCATTGACTCAATTCCATGCGTGCATCACACTTCAGTCATTGTTAACAAAAAAATTAATTTGGCAGTCTGTGCATTTGCCTTTTCTGCAATACATACGTATTTTGTTACCTGGAAAACAGAACAGCAACAAAAGAATAAAAAGAATGTATGATGTTGCGAGGCAATTAACCTAGAAATCAATTTCAATGTTAATGTTTGTGTCCTTAGCAGAATACTGATCTGTTAAAGAAAGTCTGACTCATTGTCGTTCTGCATCATCAAGTCGTTCATGCTCTAGAACTGTAAGAATAACTACCTTTGGACAAAAACTAGCGTCTGCACAGAAGAGATGTAGCAGGGTACTCAATTGAACCCTGTAAGTATCATGAATAGTATTAAAAGCCTACAAAAAAAGTATTTTTAACGAATGATTAAAAAAGATTACCAATAACAGCACTAAATTTGCCATCCATATACGACGAATTAACAATGAGTCCGCCAATTTTGATGCTGTCTCCAACGTAAATGTCGTTGGGCCATTTTATGCGCACATTGATGTCCTGTAACCAAGGCAACAGAAGAAAAATTAAAATCCAATAATGGCTATAAATTTCATAAAGTTATCAGCAATGGACTATCAAACTGGCAAATTTGTGAATTCAAATTTTAAAAGAAAAGATGCGACTCCTTTCTGAAACAAGAAGAAGAAGCCCCTTTGACACTAAGTTGAAAACAAAAAGATACTTTAAAATCCATCCACAAATAACTAATTTTCTCGTGATAAAACCTTTCATGCATCTTCAATACCTGCAAAATACCTGAACCCCAAACAGCCTTGTTTACATCTTCCATTCACACTTTTTATTTTGTTTTCCGGATACTGCATTCTCTTCTCTCCTTTCCCCCCGGAAAAAACGTAGACAGTTTGGCAAAGATCATACAAATCACAAACATAACACCATTTCCTACTTCATCATGTAGTAACCCAGTATTGTTTCTATTTGAATAGGGGCTAGCTGAGTTCACCTTTGAATTGAAAAAGACTTTTGGCTGTGGTTGTAGGATCATACTTCATATAATCTTATTTTATCAGACATTAGAAAAGTTACTTTTTTATCTTATTTCTATTAGCCATACGTGCCTCATAACCTTCTTTACTTCGAACGGATCTGACAAAGGCCACGGCTGCAATGTGTTGTAAAAATGGCATCCTTTGGCCTAGAAGTGACGATGAAGGAATCTGTACCAAAACTGAAAACATCATACAGCCGAATGGTGAAAGCCAAACATTCCCTCCTCTACCTAAAAATAAGGAAACATCGAGATCAGCCTATAAAATTTGATAATATTCCTTACTGTATGAAATATAAGTACTGTTTGAAGGCATATTTATTGTCCTATAAAAAAGGAAAAGTGATTGAAAGAAAACAAGGTACATTTTGAAGTGTTGCCTGTTTGGTGGATGTATACTAAATTAGGCTTCGTTTAAGACGAGAGCAAAAACATAATGCAAAACAAAGCTATAACTTTTTTAGCGTTGCAAAATACCTTTTCCTTGAGTTTGTTGGCCTGCAGCAACGACTAGTCCATTGGGGCCAGACAGCAGTGAAACAATACTGGAAATGATATCGAAGAAATTGTAGTTGATAAGAATTTGTATGGATCAATGTCTGATTGCAACATTTATGTCCAAAATAATACTGGAAACAAGCTGGGACATTAGGTCTACTGGAACTTAAGATTGTTGCTTCAACATTCTTCTTTCTTATGTGGTTTTCAAATACTATAAATTGCCAATCCCTAAAAAGGATAATTATGAAGGGTCAATTGTGGAGAATACCATTTCTTAATTGTCAAATTATTTCTACTCTTTGTCAACCGTATAATCAAAAATAATCACAGTTGACCAAGAAACTCTGAAAGGAGCTTTTACTACAACAAGGCCTTTTTAACATACTAATATGGAGAGGGTGGGGGAGGACTTATGTTAAACATCTTAACGGTATCATATTGGGATAACAATGCAGAAGATAAAAAATATACAAACCTTTCAACAATAGATTGTGTTGATGATACAACATTTGAGTAAACCAAGAGTCTACCAATGGTTTCACTTTTTAGATTGAACTTGTAAGTTGCATAGTTGAATTTTTCATCTGACTTTGAAATTTTCCCTATATCATCTGGAACTATTATATGAAAATGCTTCACGTCAAGAGGAAATTCTGATCCAGAATGTTTCTCATCGAGCAACACGATTCGAGATTTATCTTTATATTGTCCATGTCTCTCTTCAATTCTAGCTTTAAGTGCTGGAATAAATTTTGCAACAATCTACAAATGAAGTAAGATATTGAAACAGCCTGATTAAAGAAAATACATATCCATGAGGAGCAAAGCAGGATAGTTTAGGAGTTGGCATGAATTTTTTTTTAGGCAGATGAAAATGTTTTAAAAGCAAGATATTTTTGAAGCATTTTACAAGCAGGAAAACCTTTCTCGTGTCTAACTGATTTGTAATTTATTTAACCTTTACTTATAAAGGAGGCAAATATGTACTATATTTACCTTTCTGTCTCCATAAACATGCCCAGGCGTCAGTTTTATATTCAATGTTGACCCTGGATCAAGACATTTCATACCAAGGGCTTCAAAGACCATTTTCAACAGAGTTAGTGCAGACTTTCCGTTTTCCCCAAGTTCCTTCTCATTGATAAATTCATTCTTGAAAACTGATTGGAAATTTAAAGCAGATGTAACTACAAGGCCATTTCCAAACTTGCTTGGATTCACAACAGGATGTTGATGAGATATTGTTTTACACAATGCTTCCATGGTGTAGCTTCCTGCAAAAATAGCATTACTTTAAGAAGCTTTTAAATAAATTAGACAGAACAATCTATCGCAAAAAAGGACATTAAAAGGGTTAGGAAGAAAATGCTGGTTACAAGCCTGGTATAGCAAAGCTCATAGACTTAATCTCAAAGATATCAAACAGAATTTCAGCTTGTCAAAACTTTCAAAACACTAAAGAGCCTAGATGAATGGTAAAAGGACAGCCTGGTTTAGAAAGTAAACAAGCTCTTACTGATTCTTCTTGAACTGGTAGAAAAGAACATCTTTGAACATATGTATCTATTGTTTGCAAGTTATGATGGCTTTTTCTCCCATTGATGCCATTCTTCCAATTATATCGATCAAAATTGTGACTAGGTCCTCTTAATGACACATGGGATTAAGGCTCATGGAAATTATATCTATAGAAACTGAAGTATTGACAGGATCTGAAGTTTGGACATCTTTGTGGTTTGAAACCAACGAAAGTGATTTGAGAATAGCTTACCCAGTGAGTCCTTGATTTCATTTACCACGGTGCCCTGAAACTCAATCTCTCTATCATAGGAGCTGAAAATACATCCCTGTTGTACAGTTTTATCAGAGCAAGCAGGGTCTAACAAATTGGATACTTCATTTGCAACTGGATATGTGCTACAATGAGAGAAAACTTTTCCTCCAAGAAAAACATAGCTATCAACTTGTTCCTTTTGGAGATAATCCAGCTTAATTTGATCCAAAACTAGCATGACTGTATTTGACTTCCAATAGTCTTTAACAAAATCTTTCTCGGGCAAACTGTAAATCACATATGCTTCTTGAGATAGAACAGTTTGAAGAAGACTCCTCCATGTTGTCAATGAATCTGGCTTTCTGCTGAATACCACAATATTTGGTGGCTTAATGTTAGCTACAAATAATGACATGACCCCAATCAATAGGTAAAGTTTCATTCTACAATCATAATCTGAAAAGCTTCAAGCTACGTCTTTTAAAAATTCAAAGTAGACTTTATTTGTATAGCTGAAAAAGAATTACTAGAAAAATCTGACTTAAATTGGAAATGGATAGCAAATAAACCTTTTTTACAGCTGGATAGACACAGTCCGACCAAAAGATGATATCCCTGAGATCGAAATAAAAGGGTTTTGAAACATCTTAGAATCTTTCTAATTAGGGAATGTATTGTGTGCATCAGAACAAACATTGACAAGCACAGAACACATTGACAAGCAAATTGCTATATCTCCTGCATCCTGCTGATCAAGACCTGCAGAGAAAGCATACACATACCTATTGCATGCATTTCTTCGGTTCCACAGCTTGCAAGCCATTTTCCATGTATAATCTTGAATGGGCTTTCTCGTTTGGAAACTAATCTGCTCCTGAAGATATTCATCGATTGGATGTCTCCAGTTTTACATGAACAAAAACACACAAACTGAAACCAAAATCATAAATCAAATGAAGCTAGTTTTTAGCTCCCAGAATAGCCAGTTTCTAAAGCATGATATGAAACATGGCTGGTGGCTTCTGAAAGAAAGAAATTGTTAGAACTCCAAATTACGCAAATCTGAACTATGAAAATTTGTCTGGAAGAAAACTTGCCATTACCAATTTCAACAGCTGCCTGAGGATGGCATTAAACATGAAAATTAAGAGTTGCAACTTAGAATGGTCTTGTTATAGACAACAACGCATGAATAGATCAACCTTGTGAAGATAACAACTGAAAGATTCAAAAGACTGCCATTCAAGCAAGTGGCTCATTTAAAGGGGGAAAATTACATACTTATCATGTTTTCATAATTCTTAATAGTGTTTGTCAGAAAAGATTTTCAGTAATGTCAACAAGCCAAGATTAAATCATGCACATGAAGAAAATATTAAATGTTAAACAGTTTTAAAAAAGAGGATAAAGATTTTTTGCAAAAAAGAGAATCTAGAAGACTCTCAACTAACCCCAGCACATACAGAGAATTGTATTGAATTTTCTCGAATCACAAGGTAAATCTTGAAACTCAAATTGCTAATGTAGCAGTAGCCTGAAAGCTGCCAAATGAAGAAGGACTGTTAAGAATGATTCTAAAACAATGGAGAAAATCTTGGTATGACCTTGAAAATGGCTTTCTTCTAAAACCAATAGCGAAAAGCTCCTGTAACTGTGCTATTAAAAATAATGGGTAAAAATACTTTTTTGGGTACAGCACTTGTTCAAAATATTTTTTGGGTAGGCTACTTTTTACAGATAAAGCATTTCCGTGCATGTTTTTAGCTATGGGTAGTTCCCTTCATGACAAACTTCCACAAAGGATTGACTAGTTTCCAAGAGAAATGGAATATACCCAAGGTTATAGCCGTCTTATCACTAACTGTAAAATACGTTGCCATGCAGCCAAAGTAAAACATGCTGTTCAAGTGCCCTTGCAAGTGCCGAAACTACTAATCCGTTAACCAATATAATTTGTAGTTATATGTAGTTAGGTAAAGTAGGTGTGTTGTAGTGAGAGTATCGTGTTTCTCCATCATGGGCTAAGCCTTTTTGGAGACTGAAATTTTAGATTGTAAATTGATTAATCCAAGCATCAATGGCTTTGCAATAAGCATAGGTCAGTCAAAAATACTCATTCAAAATTCGAGTTTATCTATTCTCATATGTTAGGAGCCAAATAAGAACATTGTCGCTCAAATTGCTTACAATGACCTATGCTCAAATGGACCATTTTCATTTGATGAGGGCAAGGGGTGAATAATGATTTAACCAACCACTGTAATTTTCAAACCAACTTTCAGCAACATTCTTTGCAACTTACATGCAAAGTTTTTGTGAAAAAGCTTCGGAGAACATGTTGAAAATTTAACCCTATTTTTTAAAAAAAGCATGTTGAAAAGTTAATCCTGCCTCTCTTATAATCTTGTGTCTCTTATAATCCCACCTCTCTAAAACTCCTACATTAAATTAGGAGGTTTGATCAATAAACTCGCAGCAAGAATACAAGAATGGTCGATGCTAGAGGGGAGCAAACCCACGCACAGCCTTACCTTGAGGCTTACAAATGCTATCTAAAAACAAAATCCTGCAGGCTGCAGCATTTAACCTGCTACTTTGCAACATGATTTTGCAAAATTCGTTAGCAGCATAAAATTATTCCCTGTGCAAAAAACTTAGCACACTGCCTCCTGGTTCCGGGTGATGGTTGAAAAATAGGGCCCAGCAGGAGGGGGACAAGGTAAACTTTAACAACCATAAGAGAGGATTTAAAAAAGCCTTAAAGTATAAAAAAGCTCTATTTTTTCAAAAAGGTGGGGGCCATGGTCCCCCGGCCCCTTTTCGTTTGAAGCCCTGATACTTTCATTCAATTACATCTCTGTCCATTTCTTACTTTGTTCTGTTTTTCTTTTCGGATTTAGATAAAAGTAAGAGTCCCTCAAATTTTTCCTGAAAAAGAATGGCAATTGTTAGGAAACTTTTTCAAAAAAATTCCGAATAGATTTCTGTTTTCGTTACCTTGAAGCATTGTTTCAATCTGTTGATGTCAACAGCTGTTCAATTCGGGCGACCGCCATTTTCCTTTACACGTTTTACTGAAACGAGGTTGAACACAATATCGAGGTCTCCTTGTTGCTGTTTATCTCAGTTAGATACTCATCTAAGATAATAAGTTAGATATCTCATTTATTCATTCTTTTGCGTAGCTAGTTAAACTGGCTTAGAAGCAAAACGAAATGTTGAGAAAACTTTGTAGTCAAAAGAAATAACCTATACTTATAGAAAACGGCTTGAAGAGAGATATATGGCTAAAATCTCATGTTTTATATCCGTAGAATAGTTGAATCCATTGTAGTATCGAAGGGACATGCATTTACACACTCCCGTCCTGTCCCATGATTTTCACAAGTCTAGCGAATCTGTGGTATAGATAAATTTTTGATACGTATATATAGTGTATATGGGTAACGGTTCCCCAAGTAGCACGTAGTGCACCTCTGTTCATATCTTACCCGTGGTGTCGGTCTCCGTCCAACACAAAACTTGTCGGATAGGACTCTCGAGGAGACGAAGGAATTAATCGAGTTTAATGTAGGAAATTATCTTCCGTGTTAGGTGGTGCCGGGGTGGTGCACACAACGCTTTTTGCATAGGTATCCCGAGGAAACGAAGGGATACGTACCGAGTTACCTTGCTAAAAAGGCCCCATGTTAGATTTCAGTGGTGCCCTTCTCAATCCAAAAACATCGCTCACAACCTTCATAAATAGGTATCCCAAGAAAACGAGGGAAAATACATGCGATAACATTTGGTAAGACGTAAGAGGTTTCTGATTGTTCAAAAAAGATAGAATCCATCTTGGTTTACTTTTAATTTAGATCTGGATATGATAATCTGTGTACCTTTATGTATTATCAGACACCTCTATTCATACAGGGGCGTCGTGGCGAAAGAATTCTAGAGGGGACCAAAAAGAAAAATTTTCCAATAAAATTTCTTTGATTTATTTCAATCAAATAGAAGCATTTCATGTTAGTGTAGGGGGAGGGGTGAGAAAAACACATAACCTTTGCCTTAGCTTTAAAGATATCTAAAATGCACTTTGAACTTGTCTTGTTTCTGTCATACTTGCTGTGAACGTCCCTGACATATCGCAACCCTATATAGATCTGTAGATTAGGACAAGGATTTGAATAAAGTTACTACCTGAGGCGGCACCATGGTTGTCACCGAAAGAGAAATTTTTTTTATTATCTTTATGCTTCAAGTTCGCTGGAAATTGCACCCTTTGGAGCAAATTTCAAAAATAAAATTCTATTTTCAAAATGAATATCCACTGGCAGAAAGCGATGGTATTCATTGACTTCTTCCTTGTTTTACCTTATGCATCATAACTGCCTAAATTTTAGAATCTGAACAAAATTTAAAATCTGGTGATATGCAAAGAATTGGCACTGTCCTGGTCTTCAAAATCAAATAAAGATAAATTTATTACCATGTTGTGTCTACATCAGCCAAAAATATTTCTGAGGTAAAATCATTCAGCAGGCCAGGTGAAATCTTGTTGTGGGTTGGCGACCAGAATGGCTGATGTAGACAAATTCAAAATTTCATAAAATAAAAAACAACCTTGCATGCCTGATTATTTGCAAATCCTCCTCATAATACATTTCCCCAAATCACATATCATTATACGATTCTTGAGTAAATGTTGAGCTATGTTGGGCAATCTGATCTTTCTTAAGCTTTTTTGTGAATTTGTGGGAACATTCAGTTTATTAAAAGAAAAAGTTACTGTCTAGTGCACCTTTCACACCATGCTTCAGATTCGCAGAAAAATTAAAAAATGATCAACCTCATTCGATTTGTAGAAACATATTTGTTTGAATGGACTAGAGTGTGAATATTGTACTATACACCACACAAGGCATTGGATGGAACAACAACTGGTTAAAGATTTTCTGACTTAAAAATTTTGATGAATGTTTCCATTCTGTAGCCATTATCCAGAAGAGTTGTGGTCACAAGAATTTTCTGCTTGTTCAGCTCTCATCTTTGGCATTTGTCAATTTGGTTTTGCATGAGTGCTGGTGCAATCATGATTTGTCGCTTGCATCAAACAGAAAGGCCTGCCTGTAGTAGTTTGTTTTAGACAAAAGTTTATAAGTTTGAATTACTGATTTTGCACTATTTATGCTTTCATGAAATCTAACTGAAACAAACATGAAAATATCTCTATATCAATTTGTAATAAAAACAACTGCATTCAACAATCCAATTTCTCAAAAACCAAATCTACAAGAAGTTCATGCCTACACCAACTTGCAGTCCTGGGTTTAAACCATCACTTGTCTTTGCATTTCTTGGGATGCAGTAGTTAACTTCTAGCCTAGCTATGCCACCTATCATCATCATAATGCCAAGTCCATATGACCACCTTGCTTCCCTAATCATTTTGTTCATCTCCATGTGATTGTAAGCTGTTAAGTCCATGTCTTGTGCATTTCCAGCATTTGCGAAGAAATGTAGCCTAAAGAGGTCACCAAATCCCCCTTTTCCGGGCCTGAATGGTAATGGGGTGTACATATGCAGCCCTGCAGCCCAAAAGGCATCTGCACCTAAAGAGGCCTCTCTTACCCTTGGTCCAATACCTTTCATTTTAAAACCACGCACTGAAAGGGGACCACCAAGAAAAAATCTATCATTTATCAGGGTGTCTGATTCCCCTATTGGTTTCATGGCACCAGCTTGGAATGACATTCCAAGTACAACATCACTGATCAATTCTTTATTCAACTGGAATTCCACTTCACTTTTCACATATTTGACATTTCCACCAATGCCAGAAAATTCAAGGCCGTGTTTGAAAAAGTGTCCATTTTTTGGAAGCAAAAGATCATCTCTACCATCACTGACCAGAGAATGTTGGATTGATGACTTGAGAACATGTCCACATTGCTCCCTAACAATGAATGGTGCTTTAGGTGATACATCAGAATTTTCCCTCCACTGACCATCGTATTTGAAACTGTGCAATCCTATGGGGCTAGGTACCGTAAATTCCATACCTACACCCCTTGAACATTGCTTGTAAAAGGACTGTGGGATTTCTGTTGATGACTTATAGAGTTTAGCTAACAGCTTGCAGTCTGGGTTTTTGAAAAGCGGCTTGCTGAATGAAAGTTCATATGTGGAAGATGATCTTGTTCCTATTGATATATCACTCCGAACACTCTCAGCCATTCCTCTTATATTGTTCAATTTGCCTCCAAAAACCATATTTCCTTCATTATTTCCAACATTAGTTCCTGCATTTGCTGTCACAAACCGAGACTCTTCCAAAAGAAAGTAAACATCCAGTCCTTCTGGTGAAGCATCTTCCTTTCGGCTAACATCAACAAAAATTTCAATGGCTTTAAAAATCCCCAGTCTTTGAAGACGAAGTTTTGCATGGCCAGCACTGTCCAGTAACTCGTCAAACGACTTTGCATCCAGTAAACCCTCTAGTTGTTTTGTAACTAAGCTTGGCTCAGTTTTCTTCAGTCCATCAATGTGCACATTTTCTACCTTTATAGGTATGGTAATATCTACTTCGTCTTCATCTTCTTCAGCCAATTGGCCTGTCGGGACTGGTGCCCTAGGTTTCTGAGACTTTGCTAAAGCAAGGCCCATATTGTGAGCCTTGCAGATAATCAACCAAACTTATAAAGTCTAAGATTAGTCAGTATCCTACCTTTCAGCATTTGCCACCTTGAAGTCCCGAATCTCGTTTTAGATTTGATTAAGAAAGAGGCCTATTCATAATGTCGTTCTTATTGCAACTTCATGCAGTCAATCATTCAGTACCAGAGGACAGGAAATATTTATTAATTTAATCAATGTGATTGAATATATTAGAATGGATGAAAATAGGTATAAAGAGGAACAGACAGGAGAAATTGAAGCATTGAATTCGATATATGCCGAAGAAATAGAAAGTGAGTCGCATAAACTGGTGACGAAGTAGAGAAGATCCAGTATGGATTCCATGGCAGTTGCACTCCCGATAAACTTTTGTAAAATTACGAGTGTTTTCTTTCACACCCGAAAGATGAGAGTGGTTCTGGGTGTGGCTCAAATTAAAAAGCAATTTCAAATATGACAAAATTACTTTCTAAATTTGTTCGCAACTGAGATTGGAAAATATGTGACATTCTATTCTTAAATTAAATGATCTTCTTGAGATCAGGGCTCCTAAGAAGTTTAGAGACACTGGGGCAAAACTAAAAGACATGGCCCCTTGCGAGCGAAGTGAACAGACATTTTTGTGATCAGTTTCTTTAGATTGGCCTAAATACACTTGAGAATATTTTTCGCAATTTTCTTGCAATTGTTTTAAATGTTTTAATGTTTAAATGTTTCTTGCAATTACTTCTGTTACGTTTGATTAATTCCCTTCTTAGGAATGTTTTTAGGTTTCCTAAGACCATGAGGCCCTTGGGTAATTTGCCCCTTGCCCCCTATTGGTGCCCCTGGTTGAGATAATCCTTTAGGGTAGCCAAGCCTTTGCCCTTTTTAAACATTGTTTCCAAATTTGTTCCTTTACTTGGGGAGCCTTTATGAATTTGACTAACAGCCACTGATGGTAGTGTTAGGTAAGCATATTTAAACTCTCAATCATTTAATTTCCCTAAAATGTAAAATGGATGTAAACAGGATAAGTGCTGGGAAAATACGCACACACCCAAGAATCACCAGGAAATTTGGTGCACATTTGAATGTGCACACTTATCACAAATATACCCTTCCACTCAGGGGTAATATCTTGTGCACTCATTGAAAACTGCCATGAAATCCAGACTGGGAGAAGATCAAGTCATAGATCAATTATATTACTTTCCATTTTTGCTTTTTTTCAAAGCCATTTTCAAACTTTCCATTTATTACACATGGCTGGAGAAAGGAAAGAATGAGAGGAGAAATAAGCTTGAAAGGAAAAACTGAGAGGAGAAATACGCTTTAAAAATAATAAATCAAAATTTTACAAGACGTTTTAAGGCAAATAAAGATAGGTATCTTGATCTTGATTCTGACACCACTGCATTTACTTTGTGTCAAGACCACGTTCAAATCATTTCAGGTCTTGTCTAGCCATCAGACAAAGGTACAATTAAGCATAATAAATAAACATTAAGTCATCTATATCAATATGCTTAGCAATCCAACACTCTACTATGTACCAAGGTGCAAAGTATTTTTTGAGCCCAGGAAATAACTGGCTTCTGCTCATGCCTGTTGCAAACAAGCAGGTAAAAAACTGCAGGACTTTACTTTTAAAAAGCCTTTGCAAGCCTTGTGGTGAGGCTGTGCCAGGGACTCGCAAGTATGTGCTGCAACTGGGCAGATTAAGACTGTAAACTTTGTTTCTTGCATGAGGAAGTTCATTTTGAAAATTTGCGACTGCACGCCTGTAAAACTCTGTTTCTTGCACGGACAAGTTCATTTTGAAAGTTTGTGACTGCCCAACTGAAATTACGCACATTTAGAATTTAATGTAAAGTGTTAATAAATAGGAACTTTGTGCTGCCAATATGCAAAAGTGGGCAGGTGGAAAATTTGAGTGTGCAAGCAATAAGTTGTGGGGGTGCAACAAAGTTTTAAGTCTGGGAGGCTAGTGCCAAAAGAGGCAGTTATCCTCCTTTTAATTCTACCTAGACACCTAGACAAGTTACCTCAGTTACCAATGCGTTTTATGTTTGTATAGTTTTAGGTGATGAACCCCATTGTTTCATTATTCCTGTAAAGTGCACTGAAGAAATTGATCAAAATGAAGAATTGTCAGGTAAAGAAAACTTATGTTTAAGCAAATATTGATTTATAAATGCTTTAGTAGGAGGAAAATAACTAATATGAAGGTTTATAAGAGAAAGGTCATGGGTAGTATCTAGTTTTCAAGAATGGCAACTCCTCCTCTAAGTTTGATGAGTTGTCTCTGCATTATGATTAGCAATAATAGGATTTCCTGTTTCTACATTCAAGAATTCCTCTCATGGTTTTCTTAATGTAGTTGTCACATGAGAGCTCCATATCTCTAACGGAATTAAAGGTTTTTGGACATTAGAGAGATTTTTAAGAATTCAGTTGTTAATCATTGATGTTGCCTTTTCTTCCTTTTGAGAAACTACAGAAGCATGGGCATAAACTATCATTCTGCACATCAGATACACCATGTAGTAGTTATGATAGTTCTGTCCAGCAAGTATAATGATAATGATAGAATTCACAATATCAGATTGTATGATAATTAAGAATAAAGATTGATACAAACTGCACTAGTGGTACAGCAATCTTAAATACTTAATTCTTGGCCAGAATTCTATATATCTGACAATCACTGACTTGAAAATAAGACAAAGTGTTTATATTGTAAATCTAGAATTTTGACCAAAATTATTGTTCCAGTGTAACCATTTAAGCTTAAAGGCATTGAGTCATGATAAAATCCACTGAGTCATGATTTTCATGACTGCGATGCTATTGATTGACCTGGAACTGGTCACATGAACTCACCTCATACTGATTAACAAAACAATTTCCATCAATAGTTGTCAACAACGGATGCAAATATCACATGAAACAGCAGCGATCACACCGAAACCAAATGACCCCCCATAGAGAAGTCCTATTTACCATGACTCAATGCCTTTAATCTTGTTTTTCACTTAATAGCTAGCAGAATTAACATCAATATAACATATGATTACTTTTTCCCACCTTCTTACATAATTCTACAGAATTCAACATTTGTCTTGCGACTTGAATATTTTAGTTGAGGCATGTGTACAGTTTACATTCACTGAATGCTATCCAGATGAAATTCCATCAATGGAGGTATCAAGAAGCAGTAATATGACAGAAAAGGATGAACAAGAGCTTATAACAGTTTTAGAAGAAGAGGTAACAACTATTCAAATATTTATATAATTAGTTCAGCTTAGAGAACATCTTGTCTCTTTCTGTTTAATGCCTATTGTGAATATAGCTCAAGATAGAATTTTTTTGTTTTTAAGTTTAAGAATATCCCCACAAGCAAAAATCTATTGAGAATATTAGATCGCCTCAATTTTTAAAGACCACATCTCACTTTCTTTTCTATGCCAACCACTGTATGGAATTGATAGTGGGAATTGTGTTTGAATATGTTTGGTTATATCTGACATTTTAATCTGATTGATAGCACTAATAAAACATGCAATTAGCTAAGTGGAAAAAAAATTGACCTGAAAGCAAAGATATGACATGACCTCATGTTCAGCTTCTATGTGTCTTTACCAACTTATCAACTGCTTGACACAAAGAACCCTCTATGAATGATCAGACAAACAACCCGTAGTTGCTGAATTTTGACAATCAAATGTCCAATTGTTGCTTATTATGATAAACGTCATATATTACAATTGAAAATGGTTGCATTCCTATTTGACAGTCTTAGATTGAAATATCAAACAAGCAAATTGGTATTCACCCACCGCTACTGCATATTGTGTCAATTTCCCCCATATCTATGCTAAGCTTAACTTCATGTGCAGATTGAATTTCTCTTCTAGCACTATCAGAAAAACTTGAATTTTGATTTTAATTCACCAGACTGTTTCAGTTTAGAATGTAAGATGACTAACTACAAACCAATGCAGCTTATGCTAAAGGTGAAAATTGATATTCTTGATGCACATAACCTGAAGTGAAATGAGCTGACATCTATGAATAATCAACTAAAATTTAGAATACCATTAATTTGGTCCAAATTGGAAATCGAATTTTCAGCCCTTGACCCAAATCAAAACTTAGTTTTGTGACCTTAGCCTTATACAAAATAACTCATTTATAATTGACTGTTGATATTATAATTGATATTCTTAATTATTGACTCTTGGGATTTCTTTTAAACTAGGCAAAAAATAACACTGGCATGGCAATGACATTCACTTTAGTTTCAATAATAGAAGAACATTTGACAAAAATAATCGAAAGAATAAAACTGGAAAAAGAGGAAGTCAAAAGAAAGATCGAGCTTGAAATACAGAAGGAGGAGGAAAAGAAATACCATGGTACCCAAGTGACTGTAGAATCTTTTACAAAGTGGAGAATACAATTTGAAAGCGAACTGAATGAAAAGCTGGGGAAGAAAAAAGAAGAGACAGAACCCAAAAAACTCACAGGTAGTTTAGGTTTAGAAGTAACACAACTGGAAGTAAATTAATTTGTGCAAGTTAGGCAGTTTTTCCTCAACTTTAGTTTTCTTTAGCTGTCTACTAACTACTGTATTTCTTGTTACTTATCTTTAAAATAAAATTCTGTTCTTAGCCTAGATAGACAAATTTTAATTTTATTGCAGGAAAACTGACTAGATTTCGTTAAGATTTGTGGTGAAGTGATACCAATTAGCTCAGAATTCAATTTATTCAACCCATCCTCAACAATATTTTAAGTCAACTTGTTAATCAACTGTTAAGTCAACTAAAATCAATTATAAGTGTTTTAAAGATTCTTTCGCCATAACAAGAAAGGATGGGACTTTAGATTATACTCTTAACAGAATTTCGCAAGTGATTGATTTTTTCTCAATCTTTTCTATATCCTGATTTATTTTTGCCAAAAAGGTACAACATTGTTTTCAACACACTGCTAAATTTCACAGGTGGAATTTTTTTTATTAATTTTTCTTCCATAAAAATTCTTTTCAGGTCGGCAGCTATTTCAGACTGATTCAAGTTTACAATTTTCTGATATACAGTTCTACAATGAAGGTTTGTTTTGTGAAGATTTTTGTTTTTCTCTTGCAAACTTTTTCAGTTTCAAAGAGTAGAGGTTAGGCAGTTTAGAATATTGTCTGCTTCTCCAAATTCGTACCTGCTAGCACCGCTGATGATTGGCAGTTACGCTTATCTAAATAAATTTGATGTAAGGACCATTCAGTCATCTTTTTGTAAATTATCAATCTAGTTCAGCGTGTTGTACGTCAAATGAATGAAAAATAACACATTTTATTGCCTGATGAAGAGTTATGCTCAAAATATCACAACAATATTTGACTTTTCTATGTAAAACGTTGCATTTAAATTATATCAAATTATGTATCTTTTTTGTAAAGGCTGTGATAAATATATTTTCAGGAGCTGGTGGAGTTCAAGTAGATGAATCATTGTTTCAAGAATTAGATGATCTTGAATTAGATGAAGATGATTAAGTTATAATGTTGCAGCAAAATGATTTTAGAATTTATTTTTATATGTAAATAATGTCTCAGTTAATCTTTTTATTCTGCTTTCAAATATACCTTCATTCATTAAAATTCACGAATTGAGTTGCAAGATCAATTAGATAAGGATTTTGTAGGCCAGAAGAACATGCCGTGATATAGATGCTTGCAAACGAAGAACAAAACTACTTTGAAAAATGTCAATATTTGAAATATGTAACTCGAAATTCAAAGAATGAAGGTTGCTATAATCCGATAGGTCATATTGTACTCGACACTGCATACGCGGAGTTGTACACGCTTTGATGTATTGAATAGAATGGTTCTAAGTTGCAACTCACAATTTCAAGCTTGATGCGATTATCAGGCAAGAGATATCGAACTAAAAAGGAGTGAAAAGGCGTTTGTTAACGGGGAGTTCTAAATTGATATAAATTTAAATATCTTTGCCTTAGAAGCATTATAAAAATCGCTTATTTGCAAAGCAATATCTAAGCATAGAAACAGTGCTGTGCCTAGACAATTTTGTTCAGGGGGAGGGGGAGCGTTCAGAAAAAAGTGACCAACTTTACTTTTTTAACCGATCATTTCTCCAAAGAAAATTCATTAACACTGAAATAGATGATCATATACACACTCAATGATAACAAGTAAGAGCAAATGATGGCATGAAAGTATAAGGAAATCAAGTTTGCGGAAACTAATAGTCCTGGAGTTCGCGTTTTTGGGTGAATCTATGGGCATATTTTTGCGAAAAGCCAATTTTCAGGAAATGTGCGAAAATGAACTGCGGTTTCTTTTGAGCTCCTCATGAACAATAATTTCAGCATAAAAAATTTCCTCTAATCTATAAAATCCTGAATTGAAGGGAAAATATGGCTGGAAGGCCGCCGAGAGGCTTCAGAGCCTCTGGGGCAAAATGAAAAGACAATATGAGGGTAAATGGTTCTTTGTTCTTAAATTAATAGGGTGTAAGCAGTGCGATTGCTAGCGTTTTCGCTCAAGGGAGGTGTTCAGGCCTTATTTGCCACAAAGTGAGATAGACAGCCTTCATTTGCCCACAAGTTTGAATATTCCTCGAAAAAGAACCCACATATGGCTAAAAGCCCTCGTTTTTTAGATAAAACGTTGTTCAAAATTGCGTTTTGCAGTACCTTAGCCTCAGCTTGTTCCTAATTTGTTTTTAACTTTTGACCAATTCGAGGCTCGTGTTCTTATGAAAAAAAGAATGTATTACAAACCAAAAAAGTTGGCTATGACCAACCATGACCAATAAAATGAATGAAGTATAGGTAGAAATTTGGTCAAACTTCCTATTTGATGCTAAGGTTTCCCTCTGCATTATCAACTTTCCTGAAGTCTGCAGGCACTGGGGGGTGTGATGCCCCCACGCCCGCCAATCGGCCTTCTTGTGTAAAAGAACTTCGATCAAAAGCATAATTCAGTCAAATGGAGACCTCACGCATTTTTGGTATTTTGTTTCATCTGCTGGCAGGTGCAGAATACTTTTGTGCCTTTGGTATCAAGGGAGAATCATACAATGAACCATGAGATGTGACTGAATACTTGTACATTAGCTATACGGTCAACAAATTTTCGGATAACGAACGCGTTTGGAAAACGAAAGCAAAATTCAAACGAAGCAAAAGTTTATCAAAGTTGCTTGCGTTATAAACTACTTGCTTTAGGGGATAACCAACAAACGTCAATAGGGGTTAACTCCTATGAAACAGCAAGGAATGTCCGTCCAAAAAATTTATCAAAAAACTTACAAGAATTATGAAAAGGGTCATTGATTTCTTAAGAAATCAGACAACACCATATCACCAATGTTTCTACTGCTCGCTCTCTTCTTTAAGTCCTTTATAAGGATTGGCAAAGTGTGTTCTATGGTAAGGGAATGAATTGACTTACTGAATGTTCGACTTCTGCGTGATACAACTTTTGCCTTGAATAAAGTGGAAAAGTCCGATGGTAATTGAAAACAGGCTGACTGTGGAAATCGCATCATTTCGGGAAACGAGCTATCATTCCCGTGATTGGCAGGTCGTGGAAACGACAGAACAAGAAAAGTAACGTAAAAAAAGAATATATTCCAAATGCTGAAGAAGTATTTACTGCCATTAATTTCAAGGAGACGCTCTATCGGTACTGCAATTTTGAGTTTGCGGAAACGACACGGTAGCGAAGCGAGTGTTTCTGCTAAGTTTTCGGGCCTGCCATCGACATCAAGTTTCTTTCATTTGTTCTGTTGGGTAATTTAAACATTAATTGGGTTTTTAGAATTATCAAAGTATTTTAAAAACATCGCCGGAGATTTTTGGTGACTTCGTTTATAACGGATAGCTTATTATAAAACTCTGTGATAATTCTTACAGTACTGTACAAGAGACATCATTAAAAGAGGGCAAATCAAACAAATATTCTTAAGCAATGAGTGTATTTTGGCTTTGCTTAAGAATTTCAAACTTACAAGAAAATTGAATTTTTTGTATACTCTCTTGCGATATACTGTGTTTAAGGGAGTCATCGCTTTACAAACCTTTTTGATGGGGCTCTAGAAGTATAGAGTTGGAAACCTATAACCTAAAGTTAGAAGTCGCAACACATATTGATCAAGACTGTTTAATTGCAAAAGCACTGGACATTTTCAATCAAAATAGACTCTTGTTAATGTTGTCTATATACAGGAAACCATTAAAAAAAGTCCTAGCCGAGTCAGGCGCAATAGAACCTAATAGAAATGTCAATCAGTTATTTAGACATTTCTAGGTTAAGTTCTAACAGCTTTATCGTACCTTTACTAGACTTTCTATATTTCATTTCGCAGTTTAAGAGATTTTCTATTGGATAATGTTAATAAAGAGACAGGAATTTCACCGGGTCATTTTCTAATATCATCTAGAATGATTCCACCAAAATCAGATAAAGACTGCATGTCAATAATGTGTTATCAAAGAACTTTGACCTGACTCTCCAAGTTTCGAGTATTTTCACGAGACTACAGCATTTCACACTTCACAATTTGCGGCTTTCTGTAACTTGCCAGCCAACTTCTTGCCAAATCAATTCTAGATAATAGAATTCTTACGAACTGAAATCAGTGTTTGCGATGATTGACATCGGTGCTTATTTCCTTATAAAAATAATAGCTGGTAAGAAATTCCTCATTTTTTCTTACCAATCTATGAACACTTCTTTCATTACCAACCTATTAGCACAATTCTTCAAATAAAAAATATGGCCAAGAGTTCTAATCTCACATTAACTCGATCTGAAGATTTCCACTTAAGTCTCTTTAAAAGCGACACAATTCACCCCCTAAAGCCGTCAAAGGAAAAGAAACGACTATTCAAACCAAACCAAATGCAAAACGCTTTACACATATAAAGACATCACCAACTACCTCTTCAACTGCTTTGGAAATAACCAAGATTTCATGATACTGTACAGTATACACATGGTGTACACAGAACTAACCGCCGGGGGCCACGGGAGCGTTTGCCTCTAGGCCCGCAAGCAAATCTCAATTCAAAATATGACTCTTAATAGCGTGGTTATTATAGATCATATGTTTACTGGGAGAGTTTAACAATGCTTTCGAAAATAAACTTTAAGTAAATAAAGAAAAGTATATGCATTTTTAAATCCATATGAAACATATTGATCACGTCTTAGGGTTATTGATTCAAGTAGAAAGGGGTTACTTGGGTCTGCCTCTGGGCTTGGTGCGACTCTGGGCTTGGTGTGCCTCGGGGTCTGGTGTGCCTCGGGGCCTGGTATGCCTCGGGGCTTGTTTACCATCATACCATATTTTGATTTGCTGTTTGACTTTTCATTGTGACTGTGGGAAGAATACTATTTTTCCGTCTGCTCTGGATTAAAAAGCTAGCAGTGGTGACTGAGCTCTCCTCTAAAGAATTCCCAAGGAGCTCAAGCTGGCATGGTTCAAATTTTAGATACTTTAAATCAAAGATCAAGGGCTCCGACGCAAGTTGGAAAGGGGGGGACCAAGAGCAAATTGAAAACCCCCCGTTGTCGGAGGCGCTGAAGTTTTCTACATTTTTTCCTTAAAGACCTTAGCGTCAGGGTTACAGGAAGCAGTGTTCAGAAACCTTTCCTTAAGATCACGAAATTCTCATATGCACCATAGCCATCCTCGCACCATGATTTGAACAATTGTCGTATTAAGGTAAAATAGTATGCAAAGTGAAGGTGTCAAGCCTACAACGTATCGCCTTATATTTTCCACAAAACACAGGAAATGCCAGATACATTCAGTCTGATTAATAACAGCAAACACCAAAAAGGTGAATGCCTAAATCGTCTAAAAAGATCATCAATTATTAGCACCTCTCTCTTTAAGCGTATTCCACTATTTAACTTCCCTCCTTTAGAAAATGAGCTTCATTATCGCTAGAGTGTTTAAATATGGGAAAGTATGTCCACAAATCCTTCTGAAAGCAAGGCAATACAGTTGACGGCCTCGTCTTAGGACTTAGATGATAGTTTTAGAAATTTGTTTCAGTGCATTACTTGTTAGAAATGACCTTGACGTCAAACAAATTCGACTTTTTAATCTAATGATATAATGGACAATTATCTCTTGATCATTTCACTTTGATGAAGCGTCTTTTAAATTTATACTTCTTAGAACGGTAGTAATAGCAAATTCTTGCTAACGATATCCATTGAAACTCTCTATAAGGTCAGAAAGACTTAATACTTCTTCTTTGCTTCTCCATTCGATTTTATTACACCCATACGTGTGCATTCCTAATGTTAGTGACACGACTTAAATCTAATTATATTTCATTTTAGCAAAATTAATCCTTAATGCCTATTTTGTATCAGCATAGCAAAAGCCATTTTGTAATTTGAAATCATTTCGCGCATCACACCACACTTTACGCTATACATCAATTGTTCAAATTACAGTTGATCATTAAGCAAACGTGGTATTACTGTCCAGACTCGCTGCGCAACACTTAAACATTGTTTCTCAGTAGAGAATTCGCCTCGCCTCCATTATTTATTAATGCATTTTCAAAC